TGAACCATGCACTGAGTGCAAATTTTTCAAGCGTACATATTTTCGAATTTCAACATAGATGTTTTCTTGAACGGAGGGGTAGTGGACTTAAATTATCAAAATTATCATTAAATACCTGTCACTGTCATCCAACTCATCATCCTGAGTTTTGTCCAATCCATTTATCTCGCTTTTATACCCAGCTTGGTAAACATTCAGCGTATTTTGGAAATGGTGATGTTGATCAACTTGAATCTGAAGCACAATAAATGGCATCTGAATTTTAAATGTATAATCATTTTGTATTTTTATCATTTTATATTTTTGTATCAAATATACGTAAATATAAAATGTGAAGTAACTAAATAAATAAATAAACAAACTTTGAAACTGTCACAGATTAAAATATACTGGGGTTAGCTGAGCATTGAAAATCACTCACTCTCCCATCCTGCCTCCCGCACGAAGCAATGTTAAACGTACTACAATTGCTTTAACTATTTTTCCGCGGTATAATCAACATTAATATGAGGGGGTGGGGTCTCAGTTTGTGATAACAATACAAAACTTAATCCAATAATAAGTAGTATCGTCGATTTTTGTTTGGGAGTGTAGCTCAAATTATGGAACTGAACCGGCCGAATTTAATATTGAAAAGTCGAAAGCAATTCAATTCTCTGCTACTGCTGTAGTGCTTGGTTGTCAAACAAAAACTTTAAAAGATGCCCGCTTCTTGGAAGCAGCTTCAACCACTGTGGATATGTTAGGATTTATTCAATATGATTAGTCGATGTTCATATACACTAGATAGTGCATCTAATTATTCTGCAATTCAAAAATTGAAGCCGTGATTGCAGTCTCAGGTCGTTCCCATGAAATGAGAGAAGATTCGTATACTTCCTATTTCTTAAACAGGGAACTTAAATATTAAGTTAACCATATTCCAAATACATTTTTCAAAAGTATTCAAATGATGAAAATTATTGCTGTTTTTAAGCGTTTATTAGCGAGTGGGAACGACCAACATGCCTGCCATCTATTCAAATGGGGGTAACCGCTGGAATATTCTTGGCTTCAATTTTACTAAAAGAGATGTATATAAGATATCTATGAAATTTACTCCATAAAACCGAAGAGTTATAGCGGTTTGAAAATTAGCTATTTTTGCTATTATCGAATAAATAGGCTGGAATGTTATGAGAGTTAAGAAAAGCGCGCGAACACGAGCCGAAGGCGAGTGATTTTGCGCGCTTTTCTTAACTCAAGCAACATTCCCGCCTGTTTGGATCAGGCCATCTAAACACGGAAACCATAAAATAATTGTTTTATAAAATAACAACTTTCCGTGTTAAAATTTCACTTTAAAAAACTTTCGCTTTAAATTTCCTTGTTTGGATGGTCTGATCCAAACACGGGTTTCGACCAATCAGAGCACGCGTTATATACATATTATTTTATAAAATACTTTCTTCAATCAATCAATCAATCAATCAATCAATCAATCAATCAATCAATTAAACTTTATTTACCCACGGTACTATTTCACAAAGACAAAAACTAAAATATTTACAAGATGTGATCTTCCAATAGGCCGTGCTATATATGTATGAATAATTACATGCAATTATAAAAATATTTTATTAAGTTAATACAATAAAATCGAAGAGAAAAAGAAAAAAGATAAATTGATTATTAAGAATTATTACCACTATTTGACACTAGAGCCCTTTTGAAGGTTGACAATGAACCCATATTTTTTATATTAGGTAATAAATCATTCCAAGCTACAGCTCCTCTGTACGAGAATGATTTTTTACAAAAGTTGGTACTTGGCCTCGGGAGTGCAAAGTTAAATTCAGCCTGCCTAGTTTGATGATTATGAAGTGTACTGGTTTTCGTGAATAAATCAATTAGGTAATCAGGCACCATATTATTATTTACCTGATACATAGTAGTACATAATTGATTATTTCTTCTGAGACTTAAATTAGGTAAATCTAATTCTTTAAGTATATCGGCTGATCTAAATTCATACCCACGCTTTGTAATGATACGTGCTGCTCTATTTTGTTAACGTTGCAATTGGTTTTGAAGGGTAATTCCAAGACAACCTCATACTTGCGAGCAGTAATCAAAGTGTGGTTGAATTAGGGTTTTGTAAACTGTTACTAGAGTCCTTACATCAACAAAATCTCTTAATCGTCTAAGGACGTAAAGACCCTTGTTCACTTTCTTTGTAATTAGATCTGTTTGAGAATGCCAGGTTAAGGTCTCATCTACCATCATACCCAGTGATTTAGTAACGGTTACTCGTTGAATAGGCGTATCTCCAATTTTTATTTGCAATTCTGAGTTACACTGTTTAAGTTTTTGATGTGATCCAATAAACATATATTCAGTTTTGCTTTTGTTCAGGCTCAGCTTGTTGGCCGCCATCCAAACTGAAATATTTGCTAGGTCATCATTTAACGTTTCAGAAATTACTTTAACATCCTTATTTGCCGTTCCTAATTGAGTATCATCAGCAAACATGTCACAATCCGCACTTTTTAAGCAATTTGGCAAGTCATTTATGTAAACAAGAAAGAGTAAGGGTCCAAGAATTGAGCCCTGCGGAATACCAGTAATTATTGTTCGTGGTTCAGACAGTTTGCCATTAACTTGACAATACTGGGTACGATTAGACAGATAGGACCTAAACCAGTCATGCGCCCTTCCTCTCACTCCATATAAATATAATTTTTTTAATAAAATACCATGGTCAACGGTATCAAATGCCTTTTTTAGATCTAAAAAGACAACTCCATTGATTAACCCTTCATCCATATTTTGATACCAATGGTTTGTCATTTTTAACAATGCAGTAACAGTGGAGTGGAGAGGTCTAAAGCCATGTTGTGCATTAGTTAGTATGTTTGCCCGTTGTAAATAGGAATAGACCTGGTTATGTACGAGTCTCTCCATTGTTTTGGCAATTACCGAAATAATAGATATGGGTCGATAATTATCCATATTAGATTTAGGGCCACTTTTGTAAATTGGGGTGACTCTTGCATTTTTCCACTCACATGGAAAAATCTTAACAGTGTTTATGCTAAACCACTCTGCATGTCAACTTTCCCCGTTGGAGGAAACCACAGCACCCCGAGAAACCCATGCACGACTATATACTTTCGGCAGACTGTTGATTGACTCTTTTAACACGACAATCTCAAGGTGAAAGGCACTTGCTCTGACGACTACGCTATCGAAGCCCCGAGAAAGCCCGCCCCCCCCCCACCAGATTAATATGGGTCACATTATATAAATACCCTGGTTTCTAAAAGACTCGCTCAGTTCAATATCTAATAAAATATAAATCAAATTAAATAGAGAATAATACATACAGATTTATTTCGAGAGAACATGATATCTCACGAGTGAACGCAGCGAACGAGTGAGATATCATATTCAACACGAAAAATAAATCTGGTATTTCCAAGCACCCATGTATTTTTCTGTTTATTATTAAAGGACAGACTTTGAAAAGCGATAATTTTTACAGAAAAGCGATAATTGAAAACGGATAATTTTAATTTTCACATGTGAAAATATCATGGATAATCTCACATGTGAGATTATCAGTTTTATCAGTGCTCGAAATCTCTATAAAGCACTATACTTTATGTACTAGATCAAATATGAGCAGCCAATCTGTATCTGATATACAAACTGGAGCCGAAGGCGACAGTTTGTATATCAGATACAGATCGGATGCGAATGTTTTATCGTACTTAAAAAATGACCCATCTTATGAGTTCATTGGCGAAGTAATTTTAAAAATAAACATTGTCTAAGCCGAGAAAATCAAAGCTGAAGTTTATGTAAATCAGGACAAATCTTTATCCGATTTACAAACATTGATTAAACATTCATTTCTTTTGTATTTTCCTCGTGAATTATTAATGAATTTTTTAAATAATAAATAATTATATCTAGTCCTAAGGGTCTATCCAGTAGCAATGTAATATGATATGGCAATGATGTAAAAATCTTTTTAGGAAAGTTAAGCAAGCGAAACAGCTCTTATTAAACTGACTTACATCATCATAAATCCGGTCCAGTATCCCAGGCTTCTTAATTACCGTTGGAAAACCAATCAAATCTGTCATTTTCTGCAACTGTGTAAAAAGAAAAACACGGTTATATGAAAAATAAACACGACTATCTTCTTCATTCCTTTCTTAGGAGTAAGGGTGACATTATACATTTAACTTTTCAATTTTGTTTAAAATCGTCTCATCTTTCATTTCTTTTAGTTTTTACCAGTATTCCATGACAGTTTAGGTGCTGTCCACAAGAAATGCTGAATTGTTCAAATTGATTATAAAAGCATGAGCTGCAGCCAAGACTACATTTTGCCACATTACTACTAACCTTAAGACGAGCCTGAGCGCGGGTTGCATAATCCATCCATGTTTGTTCTTCCAAACCATCAATAAACTGACTTTTTATCTCTTTAAACATTTCTTCTGCCTAAAAATAAGTTGTTAAATCAATACATAAGTCGAATTATTATAGCTACTATATTATACGTGTAATCTGAGCTTAAAGGACATGCCTATGTACTGTATGACCCTGTTTTCAGTTTTGTTTTGTGAAAGAGATCAAAAAGTAAAAAATAACAGCAAAAAACCATTGTTTGGTATATTTCTACTCTAAATGAGTTGGAGCTAATACATATACCTGAAGGACTGTAAATGTAATTGACTGATGCATAACATGTACATGACATTGGTGCATGACATGTACAGACATTTTATAAGCCCGCAACTGGTAGAGTAGTTCGTTTTCACTCGTCAAATATTTTTGCAATCCTTTGCGTAGTTTCAAAATATTAATTAAATATTGATTTTTTGTTCATAAAATATTAAATGAGATGAGAATTAATTTTGTAGTAGCATGTAAAGCATGACACGTAATGCATTGCTTGTCTGATGTGACAGATGCAGTTGCCCAAACAAGTTTTGATGCGCTCTGATGCATGAAAGGATTTAGGTCGTTTGTCATTTATTCAGTGGCAAATTAAGGAGGAAACTTCAAGAAAATGAGGCCATTGATACTCAGTTACTATACAAACAATAAGTCTCCTTTTCTTCTAATGCCAACAACACCACATTATGTGGGTCACATGCACCAATAGACCAATTCGAAGTTTCTATTGCGCATCCAAATGATGCTTTCTGTGCCGGAAACAGATTGTAGTTGAACTATAAATAACAAGTGGCTGTGGCAGGAGGAATTTAGAATATGCATATGCAAGTATTCAAATGTTTAATCATCACTGCATGGATATGAAAACGTTGCTCAAAGAACAAATATAGTTTCTGCACGATTGAGTCGTTTCAAATTAGAAAATATCTTCTCTTAGGTGTCCCTTTCTCTATTTTGCTTTACACATGGGTAAACTATGCTAGAACGAAATTGATATAATTTTCAATTTTAATGTGGCTATAAGTGAAACACAAATGATGATTGAACAGTATAATACTTTGATAAGCATATTCTAATTCGTCCGATCTTAGCTATAATGGTCTAGTTATAATGGCCATTATTGCCAACAAAGTTAAATAGGAGAGATGGGGCTTGGAAACTCATTAAAATCATACAATATAAGTTATATAGCAACTCATTATCTATGTTTATATTTAGGTTTATTCAGAAGTGTGGTCCTTCGTCGTCACGTGTGTATTGTATTTTTGCCCAACTAAGGGATGGATGTCACGATATTTCGCTTGATTTCTTTTGAATTGTGGCCATCTGAATAAATCAGTTCTACTTGACTGCTCGCAACTCAAAAGAAACTGAGCGAAAATTAAATTTAACCAATAGCGATGTTTTGGAAAAGTTAGCTATCCGTGACTTGAGTAATTGGGTAACTTCAAAATTGCTATTGGTGGATTTGGCGATGGTTGTCCAATACTGTCGCAAGTCATGATTCACGAGTCGTGTTTTTGATTTTGTATATTAGAGGTATAAATTAGTTCACGCGTGTGCTTATAATATAATGATAAGCACCTAACGAAATTTGTACGGCTCGTTAAATTTGTGAAATTTTGCGATTCGTGACTTACAGGTTATATGCACTTTAGCACAAGCGTTGGCTAACACAGATAATGAGTTATATTTTTATTCTAATGAGTTTCCAAACCATATCTTCTGTCAGAGGAGGAATGAGGGTCTTCCCGAAATGCAATGCGCGCCTCAATGCGGCTCATTATTATTCAAAATATTTAATATTCTCAACGCGCATTCTCAACGCATATTCTCAACGCATATTCTCAACGCATATTCTCAACGAATATTTATTCTTTACTCGATTAAAAACTGTTGAAATATATTGCGATTTTTGCTGTGAAGATCTCGTCTTCTCAAGGTACGTTTTGATAACTTTTTTGTTTAGTAATTTAATAAAAGAATTTTGGAATAATTTGGTATATATATATATCGCATTTTACTATGTTAAATTCCCATTGTATTTATGTATGTTTCGGGTCAGTGAACAGGACCTTCAAAGTGGCATTTAAATGTTCATGAGTAAATTATACCATAGAATAAAGATCCACATAGAAGGGCAACTTACGTCGGAAGCTTTGAAGTTTTTGTCCTCGCGCATGTCGCATTACGCATGTTGGCCGCCATTTTCCTAGCCAGTCAATGACATTTTCTGGCCAATAAACACGCTATACTGGCTGGCTGCTCCGCCTTCTGGCCAGTAAACTGCATATTTTTGCATAAAAAAACGAGGACACGTTGCACCGCTGAGTTGCCCTTCTGTTACTGATCTTTATTCTGTGATTAGAACGGTGCTTGTCCAAACCCTTCATTAAAACTGCATACTATAGCATGATAGCTATTATCATGTATATTTTACAACATTATATATTATACATTAATATATAATGTTGTATTATACATTAGTCTATATATACTAATATATATATATATATATATATATATATATATATATATATATATATATATATATATATATATATATATATATAACTACAGACGGTACCGTTTCGGCCTTATGGGCCTCATCAGTGTAGTGCTGATGAGCAGGATGAAAGTAATTGCTGTTGCCTCACGAATGTGAGACATCAAAACCAGGGCGCTTATATAGAGGGCGGTGAAACGCGCTGATGTCGTGCTGATCGATGTGTGATGCGGAAAAGGACTGGCACGAGCGTGCTTTTCGGCAAAAGTTGACAAGGAGCGTGATTTTTCCTGCTGTTGTATTTTTGCTGTTTTTTCATTAACTACGAAATGCTTGAGGATGTTTTTGCACTGTAACGGCGAAGTAGTAACTAGTGTATCGTACGAATGCTTGTTTGGCCTGTATAGTTGAATTTTGAAAGAAATATTGAGGATAATGAGTCGGGCTTTTGATGACTTCAATGAAGGGAAATTTTCAAAACAGCATTTGGGCATGTTATCAAGTCGTCCAAACTTCGAAATTCAGTTGATGGTAAAGATTATAATTATGTGCTTATCTCCAAAAGTTTCATAAGACTCGGAGTTGAGCAATTGAATACACAGCGTTGGAAAGTGAGGTATTTTTGTGTGTTAAATTTTGCCTAATTAGACCATTATTTCGCTGCAAAAAAATAAACAACAATTGTATTTTGGCCATGTCGTGATTTTTGGTTATTATGTTAATAATTTTGTACGACTTTTAAGGCATTCAATTGAAGTAATTCTGAGCCGTAAACATATTTTACTTCTTGGCCTTTGAATCAAAATACGACTCGCTCGGACGTTTGTTGAGCGCAATAGTCGAAAAAGTTTCGTCCCAACTTTGATTTTTTTTGACCGGCTGGCCAAGACAACTTCTCGTAAGGATTCGTTAAAAAAATACAAATTCAAGTTGAGCATTTCTTGATTTTCAACTGAAAAGATCAACTAGTGGCTAAAATTAATTGTGAATTGTATTCTATCGAACGTGAACGATACGTGTACATCCGAAGAGTTTTAAAAACCTTTCACGTCATGCTTCTTGCGAAAGCAACCGTTCGTAAGCTTTCGCAAGCGTTTTGAGCAAAAACTCTAAAATATTGGCAGTATTACCTGAAAATACAATAGCAGAATCTACTAAATTATCGTATAACATCGGAATTTTACCCCCAATATCTATTTCTTCATCAAAACTTGACTACAAAACAGTCAAAACTTCCAGCTCAGTTTTCCCGCCATATTTATCCTTGCCATATAAGACAACGTCGCCATAGTAACCACAACAAACTCGTTACCAGTTCATTGCATCACACATCGATCGGCGCGCCTATAGCCGTTTCACCGCCCTCAACAGCTGGGCATTCTGTTGTCGCTGTCTAAATATTGCGGGCGCATTTCTTTAACAAACATTTTGATTCTTCGAATGCTGAAAATATGCATTTTGAGAGGATTTTTTGTCCTCTTTTACTGGTTTGTTCATGGAGAATAAAGTGTTACTTGAAAGATTAAGTCGTAGTACTTGTACGCAACGATATAACGATTTAATCGCATGAAAACGTGCGAAGAATTTTTATTTACAAATGGGCGACAAGTGGAAATGTTTCACTCATTGTCAGGGTTTCAGAAGCAGGGTACAGCAGTATGGAAACAAGGAAGTGTTCATATTTTACTCTTGATAGAAGCTGAGTTGTTGTTGTTTCCACAGGTATGTTCAATAATTTGTTTGTCCTTCCTCATCTGGAATAATAAGTGTCTTAAAATACATATTTTGATGAAAATGGCACATATTCCTCTTGCAATTTTGTAAAAACTGGCCGTTGCCTTTAGTTAGAAGTTATATTTTATGAAAGTTAAATCATACTTTGTTTTATTAAAACCTGAGCTATTCATGGGAAAAATGTGCTAGATGTTGTAATTGACAAATCCACTTGTGAAGTGAAAATGTCATGTTGTTACATGCTTATGAAATTGCTCCTGTATTGGTTTGTTATAAAGTAAAAATTGCTGCAAAAATGATTTTGAAAATGTTCAAGTATTGGTTGTTATGAGATAAGAAATGCCGCATTGATTTGTTCAGTTTTAAGAGTCTAACGGCAATCCTGAATATAGGCATGCTTGCTTTGTGAAATTCTGTGGTGATATGGCATATAAATAAAAATATCTTAAAATTTTTACCATTGCCTCTCTCCGAAATATGGCTTAAAACTATCCTTATTAGTCAACCTTCCTTCATGGAAAAGTTAGTGGGTATGCTGGGAAAAATGCGCGCGGCACTTTTTTTGGACACTGAAGATGGTAACATTTGATGTTGTCATATATTGCCATCCTCTTATCATAGCATAACTTAACTTATTTTAGTGAGTTTGTTAAAGCATTGTGCTCACTATAGGCCTGTAGTATCTAAGACTTTTTCATAGCATTATATGACAAATTTAAGTTCTGTTTTCTTTTATTTTTAGGTGATAGTATCTGTTCACTTGAGTGTTGGTATCAAATTTTGGACAAGTTTCAATTATTATTTCACATTCCTTTATTCAAATATCCAAATAAATGGAATATGACATCAAACTGGACGACTAGATTCTGTTTTCAAACTTGTTTTTGTAAAAATAGAAAATAACAACTTATTATGTGTTGTTCTAATAAAACTATTGTTTTTGATATGCATATTTAATTTTTAAAATTACAGTCATTCTTTGCTAAAATGGGTACCAGGAATACTGAAATCTTTCAGATCAGCTACCAATTCCCTTTATAACTTATGTAGCCAAGTGTTCTATCTATTTCTGTTCAGATTAAACAAATGATGGGTAAAATATTAGTTTAGATTCTTTCAAAAAAAATGAGCTTGCCTATTTTGAAAGCATAAAAAGCAATAAAATAAAGCAAAAGTACTTATTTTTAATTTAAAACCTTTGGACTTCATAGCTTAATGTTTTCCACTAAATATTACAAAGTTTTTATTCATTGAAATGTTGTTTTATCAGCTTTAAAACCAGATAAATCCACGAAGCACTCCTATAAATACGTCGCCATATTGATTTTTTCGCGCATGCTCCGTACAAAATGCCCAGCTGTTAATTTAGGCAAATTTAGGCACTTTTTAACACTCGTTCCCAGTCCACTCATCAACTTCGGAATGGCTAATTATCATTGTTCTGAGCATCTGTTGCCTCATCTGAACATTCATTACTCGAAAGATATGTACACCATTACTTGAAAGATATGTACACCAAATAACTCAAAATGTTATGGCGCTTCTAAATATTTGGAAAATTCAAACTAGGATCAAAGTTATCGGTCAGTGAAAATCGAAAAATCGCGTCCGGTGTGTTTACAGGTCCATACAGACGGGACGCAATTCGGCAACGCGAATTTTCAGTTTTTAAAAACAAATAAAACCGTCAACCGATAGAAATTTTACAAGATATGCAGACCAAATAGCTAAAATTGCTTAAGTGGTTCCGAATATTTGAAAAGCATAGAAAAATAGTAAAGTTAAATGTCATTGAAAATTGAAAATTCGCGTCGCGTTGCCAAATCGCGTACGGTGTGTATGGGCCTTAAACGGGCCTATGCGTCTTGGCTTAAATTGCCTTAATAAACTGCAGCCTAAATGATTCACGAACAACTCGTATAAACAGTCAATTTTCATTAAGTAACAGATTATTTTTGACTATAGCTTTTGTACCTTTGAGCTTATTATGAATAAACTGACCTCGCGTTTTATTTCGCGTAAAAGGTCAATTTATTCGTAATAAGCTCAGAGGTGTAAAAACTAGTTCAAACTAATCTGTTACTTAATGAAAATTGACTGTTTATACGAGCTGTTCGCGTGACTCATTTAGGCTGCAGCTTGTATAAGCCCAGTAGTATGTCAACTATTTCCTGCTAGATTGTGGGCGACTCAAATCATTGCTCTTTTACATGCCTCAAATGTCGGGGCTTGACTCTCTATTTCAATGACTTCGAGTTAAGCCCCTCTTTTTTCGAGTTAAGCCCTTGGAGTTATTAAACCCTTTTCGAGTTAAGCCCCTGCCACGCCTCTTTTCGCCGGGCTTAATTAACTCGAAGTCAATTAACGATTTAAGCATTCGAGATAAGCTCCGACATTCGGTGGATGTAAACAAGTGACGCGTGTATACTCGCAAAAATATTGGCAAATAAGGAGGGAGAATGTAAAATTACAGCAGTTTTAAGAAATATATTTTCTAAGATCTCTGTTGCTTTGCCTACAATTTTATACAATGACATCGTGAGAGAAAATACTCAATAAAAGGTACCCGGACATTTTGCCGAAAGACGCTTTGCCGAAAGACATTTTGCCGAAAGACATTTTGCCGAACGGACATTTTGCCGACGGACGTTTTGCCGAACGGACGTTTTGCCGAACGGACGTTTTGCCGAACGGACGTTTTGCCGAACGGACATTTTGCCGAACGGACAGTTTGCCGAACTGAGGACAACTTGCCGAAAATAGAGATGTTCTTTCGTCAAAATGTTTGGGACTGTGCCTCATTTCTCAACTTTGAAATTCTCAACCATTGGCATTGTGTAAAGTAAACATTATATGGTATTAGCAATGCATAATGAGTCATTAGCAGTGCATAACTTGTCGTTAGCAGTGCATAATCATATTGCGTAAGCAAATTGAAAGAATATAAACCGAAACTATACTTCGCTGTATCTGTCATCAAAATCGAGAATGAATTTAATCACAGAAACCAAAACCTCGTAAGTGAACCTTTAAAGCTAAGTTCAGAAGATATCCTTATTTTCGGCAAGTTGTCCGTTCGTGAAACTGTCCTTTCGGCAAAATGTCCGTTCGGCAAAACGTCCCTCGGCAAAATGTCCGTTCGGCAAAATGTCTTTCGGCAAAATGTCCGGCCACCCAATAAAAAAAATTCTGGTCAAATGTACGATGCACGCATTTTTATACTGTCATATTCTTCATAGCTGAATCTAATTTGCTTCACAAGTCACATGACTCATTCACTATATATAATATATAGACTTTCTGTTTCTGACTGTAGTACAAATCAAAGGAAAAACAAGTCTCATTTAGGACAGACATGCAGTCATCATAACGATCTACAAAGATGTCTCAGCATCTAGCTGCATTAAAGACCATGTTACACAGTGCAATTTTTCTTGCAACTTGCAATGCAATTCTACTCTTGAGAGATGTTAATTAGTCAAATCAGTGAAGAATTTTCGAAATGTTGAGAAAACATCAGCGGAGTGTAATGAAGACTCGTATTTGGCAATTTTACATCTCTCAAGAGTAGAATTGCATTGCAAGTTGCAAGAAAAATTGCACCGTGTAACATGGCCTTAACTGTTCCTCAGTTCCTGTGGTCTATAACGGACCACTAACTATTCCTTTAAATAAAATAATATAAAATACCCAAAGTAGTCATATCAATAATATTAATTAAATCAATGAATCGATACATATAAATCAATAAAGTTTCTCAATTTCTATCAATAAAGTTCTGGTCAAAAGTTATGCATGATGTATACGCATTATTATTGTCATGTTTATTCATAGGTGAATCTAACTTCCTTCACAAATCTTATATGACTGATTGACTACTATTTTCTGTTTCTGACTGTAGTACAAAGCGAAGGAGATACAAGTCTCATCAAGGACAGATAGTCATCCAACTACGAGGATAAAATCTATAAAGTTGTCTCGCAAATGACGGGCTGTTCCTGTGGTCTCAGTGTGTTCTTGCGGCAATCTTTCCAAAATGTGAGTAATTTTTTGTCCAGGATTCCATATATAACAGGATTTGCCGAGTATGAACCAGCAAGGCGCAGAACAACACCAACAATGAACATCCAGACATATTTTTCAATTGAGTTATACTCATGAGCCAAGGTGAATATATACCACACAGAAATTGGAAAAATTCCAATTCCAAAGCTAAGAACGGTGCCAAGACAAACAAGAAATGTTCGCCGATCTCGAATGTGTCTCCTTCTTACTGCATCTGGGCATACACGCTTCATGTGCCTGCTTTGTTTGAGAAGTGCTCGACCGATTTTATAATAAACTACAGCCATAAATATTGTGGGAAGAAGATTATATATAACTATTACTATCGATAGTCGAATAAACCAATAAAAATTCAGCTCTACAAAACAGAACGGTAGATATGTTCCATAACCCACAATGAAACCAACAATGTACACCAAACCACAAAAAACTTTCAGTTTCCGTCGACTGATGGCAGGTCTTAAGGGGTGTACAGTAGCACGATAACGAAGCACTGAAATGATCAACATCATACCAACTCCAGCGACTTGAAAAACATAAAATAGATTACCGAAAATACAATACAGGAGGGAACCAAGGAAATGAGGTTCTTCAGCCGAATGACGGACAATAATCTCTAAAAGGTTAATGGTCAGTACTCCCAGATCACATATCGCAAGCTGTAAAACGAGAATGTAGTAGTTGCTTTTCAACAAATATCTTTGGTTTAGTATGGAGACGACGACCAATATATTACCGAGAATCCCAAATACAGTTACTACGTATACGGTGATAGAAGATATGAAGACACCGTATTCCATCTTCCCCATTGCTAGCGCTGATGCAAGAAAATTAATTAAGTTTGAATTTCGTGGCTGTATAAAATACAATTCAAGATCGAACTGGTAGATTGTTGACGCAGTACCTTCGAGAAAGAGAACGAGTAGCGAATACGTTTATTTCAATGCGATGTATATAAGAGACTAGCAGATGTATTCCGACAATGTGAACCCCATGATGACATTGTCAACATGGTGTATAACACCACTTAAGATAAAACATGCTGGCTTCGATTATTTGAACAATTTGCATCTAAACTCAAAATATGAGCTATTGTTTAGTTTTACAAGATGTGAATATTCAGAGGATGCTATATTTTGTAAAATTGTTTGCAGGAAATTATAAAGGATAATGCTACTCAACGGATTGGCAGAGAATAGCAAAATTGTTAGAAAAGAAGCGTTTCAGACCGTTTAGGAATTAGGATGCATGAAAAGATAGAAGAATTTCAAATTTTTAATAATTTATTATTCTAAATCTGTTTTAAATTTTATGACCTAAATAAATTAATTTTTTTGTTATTTCAAAGAACCGAAATTAATTCCTTTTGTAAAATAACAGTTTTTTGAATAAGTATTTTGTAGAAACGAATCATTAATAATTAGGCAAAGATATTATATATGAAACCCTAGGAGGAGACGTCATAATTTTTCTTTAGTTTAGAGCATGCAATATATGAATAATTTGTCACGGTAAACAACTTTAAACCAAGCAGGTGCTATGATCACGTCCATTCAAAAACTTTGCGCAGTTTTATTCTACCCTATATAAAGGCCTGATTCCACGAGCGCTTTTTGTCAGCGAAATATTTCGCCTGTTTCTTTTGAATTGTGAGCAATCAAGTAGAAATAATTTATTCGAGTGGTCGCAATTCAAAAGAAACAGGCGAAATATTTCGCATTTCGCTGACAAAAAGCGCTCGTGGAATCAGGGCTTAAGGGGCGGACCATTGAAATTTTTTTAAAATATAATCCCTTGCACGAAATACTATTCGGCGAGTTACTTTTCTTTTTATAATAGGCGAGTTACTTTTCTATATCTATTTTAAATTTATGACCTTTAACATAATTACTTCTGATTGGTGAATAATATACTAAAAATGTTATTTCAAAGAACCGAAATTAATTCCTTTTCTAAAATAACACTCATTTGAATAAGGATTTTGTGGAAACGAATCATTTAGGCAAAGATATTGGAAATAACGAAATGGTTTGAAATAAAACCCTGATATAGGCCACCTCTAAACTACTTGCCCTAGAAGGAGACGTCAGAATTTTTCTTTATTTTTCAGCAATACCCTAGAGTTTTGACAAGATGTCATCTCATGCTCTTGAATGTATTGGATATATATGAATAATTTGTTAATTTTACACTAAGCAGGTGTTATGATCACGTTCATTGAAAACTAAAAAACCAAACTCATTGTTTCATCAAACTTTAAAATTCTGAAAGCAAATTGTACGGCAGTTTAATCAAACGAAGTCGATAAAATGTTGATTATCTTCAACAAGAATTGCATGGCCACTCATATAAATATCTGATCAAAATAAATATGCTACCAAAACGTAAGAAAACGACCCCTTTATTGATGACGAGGTCGCCAAACAGTAGCCGAGATCCTGGGTTGCCATAATTTAGAGTTAAATACAAAACTTTTACCCTATGCACTGTGACTGAAAACATCGTTATCATATTTCGAAATGTTTGGGTTTGGGCCATATGTCAAGTAAAAATTTCGCGCGAGTAGTATACAGAATAGAGGCTTTCAAAACTTTCAGTTTGGTTGTTGACTGATGATGAATCTATAGTATAGACTTACATGCTTTGTATTTTGAGCTTATTAATTAAACCACCGTTTTAAGGCAGCTAAACGGGCTTGGTTTATATTAACACATAAAATAAATTCCTTGATTCTCATCACTAGACACAGTCTACACTTTGAAATGTCGAAGACAGTGGAGATTTATTTTTTATATTTATATAATTTATATATCAATAGTTCGTATCTCCACGAACAATGACAGAATGACTGAGTTTCTTTAAAATACAATGAAATTTCATTCAAAATTCTGTTTGTTTCAAATTGGAAGTTTAAAATGGCAATAAAAACTCTATATAAAATATAAAAAAATTAACTGTCTTGAATTATTTTGTCGGGCGGTAGATTTATATTGTATAACGAAATCTAAAACGTTTTCACGAGGATTTTAAAATTCAGTCGGGCGGTGATGATCATGAGAATCAAGGAATTTATTTTATGTTGGGCAGTTGGGACTTGGGAGCTGCTTGGGAGTGGCTAATTTTGAATATTTACTTAATTAATGCATCTATAAATAGCGTTGATGCTTCAGGGGCGGTAGTTCATTTACACCCAGTTTTGCGGCAGGCGGTATTTCCTAAGTAAGGCGCCGCCTGCCATGCAGGCTAGCGCAGGTGGACCAGTAGAGCTCTACCCATGATGTCATCAGCGGGGTTCTGAGATGGGTGGAATGAATCGAGCATTCAGATTTCTGTCAATTATGGTATGTATAATCAGGAGGGGGTGGTAAGTTACGACATTCCCCGGGGGAAAGGGTTTGGGGAGAGAGGAACAGAAGAAGTTGCACTGCATGGGTGACACACAGAGTTAGGACTAGAGCATGCATTGTTAGCTAAGTAGCTATGCCATTTCAATCTTGGAATTTAGTTTGGATTCAACATGTTTTTTTATGAAATTGCCGCCACTGTCATTAAAAATACTTGAAGGTATTTTTGGATAAAATGGTATGACCGCTCTAAATAAAATAAAATAAAATAAAATACCCAAAGAAGTCTTACCAATAATATTAATACTTAAATCAATGAATAAATGGATAAAACAATCTATACATGAATCAACAAAGTTTCTAAGTTTCTATCGATAAAGTTCTGGTCAAAAGTATATGATGTACGCATTTTTATTGTCATGTTTATTCATAGTCCAATCTAAATTCCTTCACAAGTCTTATATGGCTGATTGATTACTTTCTGTTTCTGACTGTAGTACAAAGCAAAGGAGATACAAGTCTCATCTGTAGGACAGACAGTCATCGTTCTACGAGGATAAAATCTATAAAGGTGTCTCGCCAACATGCTGCACGAGGTGTTCCTGTGGTCCCCGTGTGCTCCGCTTTAGGCAATGTTTCCAAAATTTGAGCAATTGTTTGTCCATGATTCCATATATAACAGGATTAGCCGCGCACGAACCAGCAACTCGCAGAACAACACCAACACCGAACATCCAGACATATTTACCAATTGAGTGATATTCAAAAGCGATGGCTAATATATACCACACAGAAATTGGCAAATTTCCAATACCATAGCAAAGGACGGTGCTGAGACAAACAAGAAATATTCGCCGATCTCGAAGGTGTCTCTTTCTTACTGCATCTGAACACACGCGCTTCCAGTGTTTGCTTTGTTTGAAGAGTGCTCGACCGATTTTATAATAAACTACAGCCATAAATATTGTGGGAACAAAATTATATGCTATTACTACGAATAGACGAAGAAGTTTTCGATAAGTATTCAGCTGTACAAAACAGAGCGGCAGATATGTTCCATAACCCACAATGAAACCAACAATGTACACTAAACCACAAAAAACATTCAGTTTCCATCGACTGATGGCAGGTCTAAGTCTGAAGGGATGTACAGTAGCACGATAACGAAGCACTGAAATGATCAACATCATACCTACTCCAGCGACTTGAAAGATATAAAATATATTACTGAAAATACAATACACGACGGAACCATGGACATGTGGTTCTTCAGCCGAATAAAAGACAATAACCTCCAAAAGATGAATGATCAGTACTCCCAGATCACAGATCGCAAGCTGTAAAACGAGAATATAGTGGTTGCTTTTCAACAAAAACCTTTGGTTTAGTATGGAGATGACGACGAATATATTACCGAGAATCCCAAATACAGATACTACGGTGTTAGAATACGTGAAGAGATCAGACACCATTGCTCGTGCACGGAAATTAAGTTAGTTGAATTTTGCTGTTATAAAATACAATGCAAGATCAAAGTGGTAGCTTGCTTGCGCAGTTCCTTCGATAAACAGAACGAATATAGCGAATACGTTTATTTCAATTTTAATGCGATAATATAAGAGAATACCAGATGTATTCCGACAATATACCCTAGACATGACATTGTTTACATGGAGTACAACACCACTTAAGATAAAACATGCCGGCTTCGATTATTTGAATATCATGCATCTAACTAAGATATGAGCTATTGTTTAATTTTATTATTATTTATTTAAACATTTTTTTTTCTTTATATTTTGTCAAATTGTTTGAAGGTAAAAGATAATGCCACTCAAGGATTGGCAGATAATTGGAAAATTGTTTAAAACGAAGCGTTTCAGACCGCTTAGCAAGTATGAAAGAAAATGGTTTTAAAATTTTTATAATAATTTATTTTTCTATATCTGTTTTAAATTTTATGCCGTATAGGTCTAGCATAAATACTTCTGATTGGTGAATAATCTACTAAAAAGTTAATTAACGAAGCGAAATTAATTTCTTTTGTGAGCAGCACTCCTCAATCAAGAAACGACAGGAATTGGCCAGTATATGAATTGCAGAAATATTGAATATTAACAAAGTGCATATTGCAAACAAAACAGGTGCATGTGTCACCATCGTAGAATTACAATATATTTTGTTAGATATTAGCAGATAACCTAATCATAAAACACTTTGCACCAACTATACTGATTTCGGAAGGAGTTTCTAAAATCAAATCATTAATGTTACATTAGAGTTAGGACTACAGCATGCATGCATTAGTAACTTTGTATATATGAAGGCCACAGGTTTTTCAGTTATACTGCTGTCGTGTCTTTTTACCCTCTTTAAATAAAATTGTTCATTCATTCATTCATGCATTGCAAATTGTTCATTCATTCATTCATTCATCCATTTCAATCTTGGAATTCAGTTCGGATTCGACATTTTTTTATGAAATATACACCCTTCCGGAATGTCGTAACCTTGGCTATAGAGCCTCGTTTTCGTGATCGAGATGTTAGCTTTCAACTAATGTCACGGCTCTATGGCCAAGCTGACATACTTTCTGGAAGGGTGTATTGGCGCCACTGTAATTAAAAATACTTCAAGGTATTTTTGGATAAAATGGTATGACTCCTTTAAATAAAACAAAATACCCAAAGTAGTCATACCAATAATATTAATAATTAAATCAATTAATCAATGGATAAATCAATCTACACATAAATCAATAAAGTTTCTAAATTTCTATCAATAAACTTCTGGGGCCGGTTGTATAAAAAAGTGATTAAAGTTAACTATGATTAAGTGCAAACGTCATCCAATAAGAAGTGCCTATTCGAGAGTTAATCACTATTTAACTACAAAATAGTGATTTAAAAAGTGATTAAGAGTTTTATACAACCGGCCCCTGGTCAAAAGTATAATGATGCATGCATTCTTACTGTCATGTTTATTCACAGCTGAATCTAAATTCCTTCCAAAGTATTACAGGTATATGACCGATTGATTACTTTCTGCATGTTTCTGTCTGTAGTACAAAGCAGATACAAGTCTCATCTAGGACATGCAGACAGTCATCCATCTACGAGAATAAAATCTATAAAGGTGTCTCGCCAACGTGATGCACGAGCTGTTCCCGTGGTCTCCGTGTGTTCGGCTTGCAGCAATGTTTCCAAAATTTGAGCAAGTTTTTGTCCACGATTCCGTATATAACAGGATTTGCCGAGTATGAACCAGCAAGGCGCAGAAGAACACCAAGACTGTTCATCCAGACATATTTCTTAATTGAGTTATACTCATGAGCCAAGGTGAATATATACCACACAGAAATTGGAAAACTTCCAATTCCGAAGCAAAGAACGGTGCCAAGACAAACAAGAAATGTTCGCCGATTTCGAATGTGTCTCCTTCTTACTGCATCTGGGCATGCACGCTTCATGTGTTTACTTTGTTTGATGACTTCTCGACCGATTTTATAATAAACTACAACCATAAATATTGTGGGAACAAAATTATATACTATTACTACGTATATAGTCGAAGAAGCCTTCGATAAACAATCCGCCATACAAAACATAACGGCAGATGTGTTGCATAACCCACAATGAAACCAACAATGTACACCAAACCACAAAAAACTTTCAGTTTCCGTCGACTGGTTGTTGGTCTTAAGGGATGTACAGTAGCACGATAACGAAGCACTGAAATGATCAACATCATACCAACTCCAGCGACTTGAAAGACATGAAATAGATTACCGAAAACACAATACACGACGGAGTCAAGGAAATTTGATTCTTCAGTCGAATAAAGGACAATAACCTCCAAAAGGTAAATGATCAGTACTCCAAGATCACAGATCGCAAGCTGTAAAACAAGAATGTAGTAGTTGTTTTTCAACAAACATCTTTGTTTAAGTATGGAGATGACAACAAAAATATTACTGAGAATCCCAAATACAGATACTACGGTGTTAGAATATCCGAAGACATCGTATTCCGTCTTCCCCATTGGTAACGCAAGAAAATTAAATTTGAATTTCGTTGCTATAAAATACAATCAAAGATCAAACTGGTAGCTTGTTTGCGCGTTCCTTCGAGAAAGAGAACGAATATACGTTTATTTTAATGCGATGTATAAGAGAGTAGCAGATATATTTCGACAATACGAACCGCATGCATGATAACATTGTCTACATGGTGTATATAACTGCACCACTTAAGATAAAAACATGCGGGCTTCGATTATTTGAATATCTTGCGTCGAAACTCAAGATATGAGCTCTTGTTTAGTTTTACAAGATATGAATATTCAGAAAATATTTTATCTTTATTTTATGAAATTGTTTGCAGGTGACGATAATACCATATTGCCACTCAAGGATTGGCAGATAATTGGAAAATTGTTAAAAAAGAAGCGTTTCAGACTGTCTAGCAAGAATGAATTAAAGAAAAAGGATTTTATTTATATTTTTCTAGATCTGTTTTAAATTTTATGTCCTTTAGCATCATATCACTTCTGATTGGTAAATAATCTATTAAACAGTTAATTCAACGAAGCGAAATTAATTTCTTTCAAGAAATGGCAGGAATTGGCCTGTATGAATTGCAGAAATATTAACAAAGTGCACATTGCAAACTAAACAGGTGTGTAGTGCACTATATTTTGTTAGATATTAGCAGATGACCTAATCACAAAACACTTTGCACCACAGTAGCTATATTGCATATTGAACTAACTATACTGAAGGATTTGTAGAAACGAATCATTAATGTTTGGGCAAAAGATATTGAGCCCAACGAAATGATTTGAAATACCCTGATACAGATCACCTCTATATACACTCGTCGTCGGACGAGACATCAACATTTTTCTGTGTTTCAGAGTAATATATAGCTACTTAGTGGTACGTTTTCAATGGATAGGTCGGTCTGATATAACTGACATCACAAGAGAATATGTTCAACGTAGTGACGCACTAATTGTTTAGTTTGCAGCGTAAACATATTTAATATTCAACGATTCTATGTTGAATACGGCTTAGTTCCTGCCATCTCTTGATATAGAGAGTGTTATTTACAAAATTGAATTCATTTCGGTTGAATGACACAACATTCTCAGATTATTCACTAATCCGAAGAATTTATACAAAAGTCTATGTAAGTTTAAAACGGAATATTAAAAATAACTTAAATTTTAAATCCTAAGTACTTCTTTTTTAATTTCAGTATACTGTTTGTTTTCCGAAGGAACTGCACGTCTAGACGACCTAACTCTTTGATCTTGAATTTGCCTTTCAGCAACGACAGTCACAAGTTCAAATTTCTTGAAAGAAACAATGGGGAAGACAGCATATGATGTCTACAGGTATTCTGACATTGTAGTACTTGTATTTGGGATTATCGGTAATACTTTGGTTGTCGTCTCCATGCTAACACAAGCGATGAAAAGCAACTACTACTTTCTTGTTTTACAACTTGCGATCTGTGATCTGGGAGTACTGATCATTTACCTATCAGATCATATCAACTCGCACATGCTGCTTGAACAATTCCTTGATTCTTCCACGAAACGTTATTGTTTTGGTTTGCATATAAGTCTTTTCTTTCAAGTCGCAGGATTAGGTATGATGCTGATCATTTCAATGCTTCGTTATCGTGCTATTGTACATCCCTGGAAACCTACTATCAGTCGACAGAAATTGAAAGTCGTTTGTGCTTTGGTGTACATTGTTGGTTTCATTGCAGGTTATGGAACATATGTGCCTGTCTGTTTTATGAACGATGCCGCAGTTGTTTATAAGAAGTTTTATTTTGGTTACTTTGTATTCTGCTTTTACTTTTTCCCGCCAATATTTATGGCTGTTGTTTATTATAAAATAGGTCGAGCAGTGATCGAACAAAACAAACACATGAAAAGCATATGTTCAAGTCCAGTGAGACGAAGTGCACCTAACTCTTCCTTCAATACCCTGAAATTTATTCGAAATCGACGAACTGTCCTTGTTTGTATCTGCACCGCTCTTTGTTACGGAGTTGGAAATATTCCTTTTTCTGTGTGGTTTATGTGCTACGTTGTCGCTGGAGAATATCATTTACTCATGAAATATGTATGGGTGGAGTATTTGGCAAGTGTTCTTAGAGTTGCTGGTTCGCATTCAGTAAATCCTCTCATATATGGAATATTGGACAAAAAATTGTTTACATTTTGGAAATGCTGCCGGAAGAAGAATTCGAAACAGAAAACACGGGAAACATTGACAGATCCTGTAGCAAGTGTGTAAACGAGACATCTTCATCGATTATCAGCCTCATAGATTTACGATTATCCTGCCAAGACGAGACTATAGTGTCTCCTTCGCTTTGTACTATAGTCAGAAACAGAAAATAATGCGAAGGCCGCATGACTTGTGAAGGAATTTTGATGTAGCTTGAATAGACGTGACAGTAAAAATGCATGCATATTACTTTTGTTCATAGAGTTCCACTGATATATTTATGGATTGATTTATCTATTGAAACATTATTCATAATGAAGTTAAATTGTTCATTCATTGTTTAAGATTTACCTTTTAATTAGAGAGGGAAAGCTATCGAGTGAATACTTGGTGGCACTAAATTTGATGGTGATGGCATCAAGAAGTCTCGTTCTCGAAAAGAACAACGGTCTCGACGCTCTCTCGCGGAAATGCACTGATGAAAATAGTGAATTTCTTGCTGACGACCAATGATGTACTTCTAGATGAAATGGACGTGCAAGTTATGATGAAATGATGTTCGCAGCTGCTGATAATCGCGAGGAAGGATGCTTGGCACTTTTTAACTGTATCCCCTTAACGACAAAAGCATGGAGGAGTTTCTCGGACGTGAGGATAGAAATAACGAGGACATAGGAAGCGAGGGAGCATCCTGTTCACATTGCCAGAATATTGGCTACGTCATGAAAGAGGAGAACCTAGGAAGTTATGTGATACACTCCTTCAATCCCATATCAAGCAATACCGATATAACACGACACATTGGTCATAGTTCATACTGCTTGTTTTCACTTTTAAGAATAATTGTTGTATTTTTTCTGTATAGTCTTTCTTCTATAATCCATAATTTAATTAAACAGCAAAATGCACTGAAAATCATACCCATTTGATGATTTGAAATTTCTTTAATTCATGGGTCTTTCACCTCGGTAACCAGGCTTCCATTCCAACACTTTTGCAGGCACAGTGGAACCCCGCCATACGACCACCACGTTAATACGACCACCCCGATAATACGATCACTTAAGTATTTTTCTCATCTGAAGACCCCGTTAATACGACCATGTCGTTAATACGACCAACGACCACCTTTTGATGTTCCGAACTCTATACCAAACAATGCACCGTTGGCTGTTCATGTAGTGAAGGCAAGCGTAATTTAATATATCGATCATAGTCAAACAATTGAACAGTAAATTGGATTACATGCAGCTAAAAAAAGTGCCGAACTTGACAAAGAGTTTTTCACAAGGGTGGGTAGTAGCGAAGTAGTTGTAGTTCGCTACTGTAGCGAACTACAATTTTGAAGTAGCCAGTAGTTTTTGACTACTTTTTCAAAACAGTAGCTGTAGTTATAGCGAACTACATTTTGCCTAAAAGTAGCCAAGTAGTTGACTACTTTTCAAACAGCAAATCGCTTTTCGCTATTTTTTAAAATTGTTAGCAACTTGATAGAATAGAATGTTATTAAGACACAGTTTGCTTAAAATCAACACTCAATTTGCACGAATAACGTATGCCGTGCAACTGTTCAAACTGTGCAAGTGCATGCCGTCTTATTTACTCGCGTAAGTCGATTTGTTATAGGTTACATTACAGCCTGAGCTATAGTATAGATGTTCCAAATACAGTAAAATTAAAAAATATTGAGTAGCGAAATAGCGAAATAGTTCGCTACATTTTTTAAGCAGTAGCTGTAGTCAGTAGCGAACTACTTTTGTTAAACAGTAGCAGTAGTTGTAGCTGACTACATATTTTTGAAGTAGCTGTAGTTATAGCGAACTACAAAAAGTTTGTAGTCAACCCACCCTTGGTTTTTCAAAGATGTTAAAAAACTTTTTCGGCACAGATGTTAAAAAACATCTGTGCCGTAATTTGATCCGACTCCCGTTAATACGATCGCGACCGCCCCTTAATACGACCAAAATATTTTGGCCAAACGGTGGAGTTCAATGAAGTTCGCCCCTAATAACGTCAACTTTCATCCAATAAACATCAAGTTTAATTTGAAATAATGAACAAATGTTTAGTTTATGCACGCCTCACAATTGCAATTGGCTGTACTTGCATGTTAAAACAATTAAAACAAGTTGTAACAAGGTTGTTGTGAAGCCGATATGAAGATGTGCTTCTTTCCAGTTGTTGTGACAAGTCTGGAACAAGTTGCTATCGCCTTGTGATGACACTGATGACAGTAACAGACTTGCTACAAGTTGTTCCAACAACATTAATACAAGCTGCACCAACAATTTTCTACGAACTTATCGAATAAGTGCAAACGCAAGAACTTCGAATCCCATTTATACTTTCATTACGAGATATAAAGTATAAACTACAAATGCTGGTAGATGATAAAACTGACATGTGTAACATAACAAATGAAATATCTAAATAGTTCATTCAGGGGTATTACTAACGCCTGCACACAAAATTTCCCGCTTTAATAGTTTTCGTTTTATTTGTCATATTAACGCAATTTAAATGTTAAGATATTGCTGAACCGTTAAATATTCGATGTCGTGACAAGCGAATCCGGTGTTGTGTAACCAAGGAAAGCAGGATTTGTTCGTGTACAGCACACGCGTGTTATTTTTGTGGCCAGTGTTCTGTATGGCCTCCTTGTGGCATATGTTATCTAATGAAATCTGCAAGTTTCGTGATTAATTTGCAAGTTCTTTGTTTACAATGCTGTGCCATGTCGACAATAACAAAGACTAAAGTTCACCGCCCGAGATCTCGCATATACTACTAATGGCTGAGGATGATATAAGGCTGGAAGATAGTCTGCCGGAATACGGATGGCGGGTAAAGCTTGATCATACTTTTCCACAAAAACCTCGGCCAAGCAAATTGCCTCGATGGAGACAGCTACCGAAATTAGTCGGTCTTGGCTACCGGTAATATTTTACTGTGAATTTTTTTCTTTATAAGTTACGCTCATACGCGGCCGAATATAATTTCGAAACCGTGTCACAATTTTTTTTGGAATTCACAAGGGACTCATGAAAACAACTTCGAGCGATCAATATAGCTAGATCCGTTCGAGTCTCCGTGTGTACAAATTAAACCGAATAAATTTGCTATTCTCAGATATATATCTAGCTATATCAAGTGTTGTATTTTAGATTCATGAAATATGCTACGAAAGAAAAAAAAGAGGGAAGAGTGCCTTTTATAGATCCTTACAAAATGAATCCGTGCCGTCAAGTATACGGTGAGAAACATTAAACTTTCGTTATACTGTTTGTGTATATATAAATATATAAGCACTTATATAGGAAGACAGATTTTTCTATAGCGTAGCGTATATCTGTTTTATGCGTAAGCTTAATGTATCAATGCATATTGTTGGACACGGTAATTATATATGAGCGAGAAAAGTATATAAGAATGGCGACATAGCCAATGTAACAGTTTCGAAATAATGCCCAAAATGTTGAATAATAGCGACAATTTGTTTGCGTGAATGTATTCAAAAGGATTATGCAAAATAGATTGTATGTTTACATGCAAATTCTTGTCAAAAATATACATTCCACACAAAATATTTGACAAATGAATTAACCGACATTAAAACTTCAAAAGGTATTTTTGTTTTAGGATATAAAAGAAGTCATTTATGCTAAACAATTGCAGTATATAAACTTATAAGGTTCGAGCATTTAGTTCGAAGTAAAAATAGCTCAACACTATACCATTGTTTCTCCTTGTGATTTAGCGGCGAGGGCCGCGCGGCTCTCAAATTACAGTCGCGGACGACGATGGGAATCAAGAAATCTATTTTATGTGGCCAAACTATACGACATTAACAAAGAAACATGTTGAAAAATTGCATGCAAACGGTAAAAAATAACTGCTGAACTCTACCCAATTACAATTATAATCCTCGCAACGCGTCTAACTGCTACAGCGGCCTATTATATTTACGTAGCCTATATTTCAACCTACTTTTTTGATTCATAACTAAATTTTATATAGTTTATTAACTACATATAAATCAACTATTTGCGTATTTTATAAAATGGACGAGTTCACAGTACCCCATACATTGATAACAATCTGTGTGTAGGCAAAATACGTCGTTTTGATTGGCCATTTTTAATTACGACAGATGTTTGAGGTCGTCCTGAGCACAACGTGCCCAAGTCAATATACTTTACATTTCGGCGAGTGAGCATCAATTAGGAATAGTAAAAAAAACATGCAGTTCTGTCATTAATATCTTTACTTTGCTTCGACGTAATGAATTGTGGTTCTGAGTAACAGCAGGATAATTTTTTTTATAAAATGTCAATTTGGGTGCATGAAGCATCGTGTTTATATTTGCTATTATGCTTGCTGTTATGTTTCTCTATGTAGTGAGAATAGCCTTTTAAAAAAATTAGCTTTTCTGATCTATAAAACACTATATCCTTATACGCAGTTAAAGCAAAATCTCAGCAAGATATTCCACAATGCTTATAATCATTTATTGAAAACTATATCAAACTTTGCGTTCCGGTTAAGCGTTTTTCATACGTACCTGTACGCACGGCAATGTTTATGTCTTTAAAAAATTTATATCATAAGTACTAATTACCTCCACAAACAGACATTAAACTGATACGCAAAACTAAATTCCATCCTTTAATGGATTTAAACCTACACATACGAACTGCGCAGTCAAAACTGACCCGTTCTGCGACGCGATATGAAGTAGTCAAGATTGGACGATTAGGACCATAACGTTCACATTCGTCGGAGCGGTTTGAAAATGGCGTAGAAAAGTCACAATTCGCTGTCGCTTTCACACTACGCAGGAGCGAAATTATTTGAAAACGTCACTTATAAACGGAGCCGACCGAGCGAGATGAAAACGGGAGCGCTTGACGGTTCTGGCCGCTGTGCGAACACAAACGCCGTTACTTTTTTGTACCGCGCTTGCAAACTAAGCAGGTCTCAGGTCTCAAAACAATAAGTTCGAATGCTTTTCGTTTAAACTTCTTTGCTCTATTAGAAACATTTTGGGTTTACACGAGTGGCGTATAGTGCCGATAAAAAATTGCTAAAGTGAAAAATAATAAGAATACTAAGGTGAAGAAAGATAAAAAAGATGCTAAACTGTTCATACGTTTAGAGACCGTACTCAAATTGTTAAGGCGGCAAAAGTGACGTTTTCAAACAATTTCGCTCCAGCGCCGTGTGAAGTATGCGGCTATGTGATCAGTCTGGCGTACTGTGAACGTATTCTAAAACATGCCTATCAAAGTGTTTAATATTCAGTCAAGTAGCCCAACTTCATGTCATGATATATCGATTGGCCATTTGGATGCGCAGTCGAGTCCACAAGCATGAACTACATGGCTAAGCTTCATTAAATTCTTGTTACTTGTAACATTGCAACATGCACCGGCCGCTCTTGTGCTTTTCAAGCAATTTGATTGGTTACTCAGGTCAGTCTCAGCACTGGATATCCTTGCCCTGGATATCCTTGCCCGGACAGAAACAAAATGGCTTCCCGTTTCGTTCCGGTTAAAAGCGAGCAAATTTTTGTACTAAACGAAGCTGCCGTTCCGTCAAACACATGAGGAGAGCCAAAAAGTTTTGTTTAACAGTGTGTAGAGGTATTCTTTAAACTATTTCTAGTGAATAAAATTACTAACAGCTTGTAAATACTATTTTGTTTACAACCTCGTTTACAACTATTACGGGAGATGAAATACAAATTGTCAGTTTAAAAATATATATGGATTGTTGTTCTTGTGCGGTTGTCTCCACTCCCTAAATTGGTCTAACTCAACATGATTTAATTATAACAGTCATGTTGCAATAATTGGGTTCCCAACAGGGGTGCCACTCGGTGGGATTGGATGTGGTTCTATTGGTCGTGGTTGGAAGGGAGATTTCAATCGCTGGCAGTTAACACCTGGAATGTATTCGTATGATGATGTACACGCAGATCAGGTATGAAGATGAGATTGCGCAAAGCATGCTTTCCAAATTTTTATCCATCACTTGATAGTACCTTGAAAATGATGAAGAATGACCTTATAATTTAACAGTTTATTGATACAGAGCTCATTCCGTGTGTTGTTGTGTTATAACACCACTATATATAGTTGTGTTTAAGATGGCGCGCAGCAAAAAGAAGCTCTAATATATATCTCGATTCAACGAAATTAAATGAAATTTGGTAGAGTAGTTAGTGCAACTAAGCTAACATTTTCAACGTTTGTGTGGTTGTCATAGCAACACACTAGTTACCAGGTCTCCCTCGTCTTATTTGGTAATTTTACTTAATTAGTAATTTTATTCAATTCAATAGTTCATATACATATTCACCACAGCACCTTTAAAAACGATAATATCACAAAACAGGGATAAATATAATTACACATGAGCCTTTCTAATAAATCTTGATGTATTTACAGTTTGTCGTTTGTATAAGAAGAAAAGGAAAAACCGTATATCAGGTAAGATAAAAAAATATCTACACAAAAGTCTCATGAACCACTGACTGGGTAAAGATATGTATACTACGTTAGAAACTTATTAATTAAGACGTTTCAACCAAGAAATTAATTCAACGATGTGACCCTGAATACAGACAATCCTATAGGAGTGTAGAGGGGTTTTGGAGATGGAAATTTCGTGTGAATTTTTATACATTTATTAGACATGGAACAATTGCGAAAAACGGCTCATGCATACCTTTTATATTTATTTACTATATATTTCAATAAAAATTATGAAGCATAAATTATTATCTAAACAGTTCAACATGTCCTAAAAGGCTAAAATTTGTCCTAAACCTTGGCTCAAAGACTCGTATATAGGCTGACTTAAATACTTAATGATTGCTCACTTGACGTTTGGACTGCCTTTGAATCTGTGCTGGAAGCCGCAATTTCTTATCCTATACTATTAATATATTTTAACCATATATTTTGAATCCTGGCTGCAGTTTTAGTATTTTTCGTTTAATTAACCAACCATGTTGCTCTTTCGGTCAAATGCATGCATGGTGATATTGTTTTCCTTTTAGAACTGGCCCAAGTTAAAATTACTTCACTACTCTTTCAGAAATAATTTGGAAGAATGCGATGTTATTTCAAAACCGTGCACAGATTCGGGAAGGACCATATTTAGTCCTCACAGTCAAATCGTCACATTTGGCATCTTTTGTATCTTTTTACGTGAGACGTTATATGATAAATTGACTTGAATTGACTTTTTAAACTATAGCAAGTACTATCTCCACAATGTACGTCTAATGGTCTCTTATACGGACACAACTTGAAATCATGGAACTGGGGATTCAATGGTGCAAACGCAATCTACCACGCATTGTACCCAAGAGCATGGACGGTGTATGAAATACCATCACAGCGAATACGATTAATCTGCAGGCAAATATCTCCTGTCTTCCCAAATGACTATAAGGTAAAATTTACGTCATTTATTACTTGTATATACCATTAATCTTCTATTATGCATCCCGAAGGTTTTATTATTATTTAAACTTATTTAGACACGCGGTAGCCTTTTAGTTGCCTGATTTTCAAAGGTCCGTGCGGTTCACAAAAGTAGAGAAAAATGTAACCTATTTACAACAATATTTAAAAATGTACAATAACTTTCTTTGCTATATATATATATATATATATATATATATATATATATATATATATATATATATATATATATATATATATATATATATATGTAAGTTATATAATATAGTATTATAGTAATGTGTGCTTAGCTTGTGAGGTGTGCTTGGCTTGTAAGGGCGTTTCTCTTTTGGTTGTCAGTGTCAACCTTTAAACGAGTCTATGGAGAGCCTCTCGTATTTGCTAGATAAGTTATATGGTAGACAAGTGTTTGGGCATGGAAAAGCTCTCGTACTTGCTAGATAAGTTACATGGTAAACAAGGTTTGGGCACGATTGTAGTTTTGAGATTAGTAATAATTAAATAATAATTATAATGAGTGACATGTGAACAGTGTCATTGATATTGTGTACTTGTTAGGACACGAGTCTGCCAGTGGCCGTATTTGTATGGACAGTTCAAAACTACGGGAAAGAAGATGCTGATGTCAGCATAATGTTCTCATTCCAAAGTGGCGAGGGCAAGTTGAATGATGTGAGTTACGGACATTATAATGAACCGTTTACATGCAAAGGAATTCAATCAGAAGTTGAGAATGGCCGTACTGAGGGTAAGTTCCGAATTAATTATGCTTTTCAATTTAATATTTAATATGAACCACCAGTGCCAACATAGCATTAAGTTCATTTCATACACTTCATTTCGTATTTTCATCTGGAACGACTAGCAACAAATAGCAGCAACGTGCCTCAAAATCTGACTTCAGTAAATGTTAATTGAAAATATTCACATATAAGTTGCAACACCCAAGACAACGACAGCCAACATTTCAAATTAACATGCGTTGAAATCAGATGTTATTGCAAATTTGACCAACTTTATTGCTCCTATATTATTTCACCTTTTTCACCTTCAGGCATCCATGATAACATTACGATATAATTATCATAATCGTTGAATATTTATAGGTAGCAAGAGTCATACGGTAACATGTGACGTCACTGGTGTACTACTTCACAGAAATATAGATCCTGCCTGCACGTATGTCATTGCTGCAAAGGCGAAACATCAGGTAAGATATCGATTTCTGTCGGCTATATCCGAGTAGTGTGGTAGTTATCACCCATATTCAATTAGCCTGCGAACAGGCTCTCTTTGAACTCTCTAATTCAATTCAAAGAGCCTGTTCGCAGGCTAATATTCAATGAGCGTCAAAACTATTAATCCACTAACTTGAATGACGAATAGCTGAGTAGCCCAAGTATCAGGCCGTGTTTCCGTTCCTTAAACGAAACCGGAGGCCCTTACTCAAACCCATGTCTATAGTCGCATGCAAAAAAGCCAAAATCCGACTTTTTACCTGATCTATCAAACAAAAAAGTTTTAATCCGTCCCTTTCATCGGTTAGTGCTAATTAGGTTATAGTTAAATACGAACTTTACTTCCGGTGGAGAGCAACCAGATAAGTTTTATATTAGACTCTATAGCATAGAATAAAGATCCACATAGAAGGGCAACTTACGTCGGAAGCTTTGAAGTTTCTGTCCTCGCGCATGTCGCATTACGCATGTTGGCCATTGAACTATAAATAAACTGGAAGGCTAACTCAGGGGGGGAAATTGAAGCCAGTGCATTTTAGTTTTTCTGAGTTATGAGCAGAAATACTCAACACTGAACGTTGGGCTATATATCAAATTGAAGCTATTGAAAAACGCTATTTGGTGTAGAAATTTCAAGACTTTAGCTAAAAGGGAAATATCAAAAAATTACAAACATAATTACCGATAATTTGCCGTTTTGCAGTTGTTTTTGTATTTTTAAAATATTTTTCTTTTCGCTGAAGTCGTGAAATTTCCACACCAAATAGAAATTTTCAATAGCTTCAATTTGATATATAGCACGACGTTTGGGGTCAAGTATTTCTGCTCATAACTCAGAAAAACTATTTTGGCTTCATCAAATCATAGGCCTTCATCATAGCAGTTAGCCTTCCAGTTTATTTATAGTTCAATGATGTTGGCCGCCATTTTCCTAGCCAGTCAATGACATTTTCTGGCCAATAAACACGCTGTACTGGCTGGCTGCTCCGCCTTCTGGCCAGTAAACTGCATATTTTTGCATAAAAAAACGAGGACACGTTGCACCGCTGAGTTGCCCTTCTGTTACTGATCTTTATTCTGTGCTCTATAGTATTTGTGGTTCAGATTTGGCCTCCACTACCGCTATCATTAACTAATCGGATGCGTTTAATCAATTAGCCTTTGTCACGATGAAGAATATCCGCCATTTTTGGGTTGGCATCTAATTCTCGTTATCCAATGCGGACAATTAAAACAATGTGAAAAGCAATTTTTCAAAATAAACTAACCATTCACAAAGCAAATTTATCATCATTCATAAAAAAACAAATCATAAAAGGTCCTGTTATGTGGACTTATTTCGCAGACCTCGGCTGAAAAGCCACCCAAAAATGGCAGCGTGAGAAAGGCTAATTCAATCTATCAATCAATCAATCAATCAATAATTTATTCAAAGTACCTACAATAATATTGAGGCCCTTGCAGGAGATCTGGAGGTTAACCCTATATAAAGATCACCTTTACCTATTACTAAGTTAAAATACCTAAATGTTAAATTACAAGTACATGTCCATGTTCGACTTCAGTTCTCTTTTAAATTCTCTAATGTCATTTACTTCTACAACCGAGCATGGTAAACTGTTCCAGTCACTGATAATCCTTACAAATAGTCAGTATTTGTAACAATTAATTTTGGGTAGTTTAGGATACAAGGTGTATTGGTGGTTAGATCTTGTCCTCTTGGAGTGTCTATATTCTAAAACTTCGCTGAATATTATGCCGGCATTAAGTTCAAATACTTGTAGCACTCTACTAGGGAAAGAAACTTTCTACGTTTTTCTAGTGTGTCCCATTTTAGCAATTTACAACGTTCGTTGTATGGCATTTCGCCTCGTTTCTGTTTCAGAGCAATTCTCGATGCTCTTCTTTGAACACGTTCTAGGGCTTTCACGTCTTTAACCAGATATGGCGACCAAACTGGCGCTGCGTATTCCAAGACAGGTCTCACCAAGGATTTATATAATGTGGAAAAAATGCTCGTACTTGAAAAACCGATAGTCCGTTTAATTAAACCAACAATGCGGTTAGCTTTCTTAACTGTCGAGGCAACCTGAGGCAACCCGAATCAACCAATCAGATGCGTATTCAACCAGTGAGAAGTAGCGACAGTGGTGGAGGAATCTAAATCTCCCTATTTGCATATTGTCTTCATATAGGGCAAAAACCAGCTTGTCCGTGTGACATGGAAAACCGTATTTAATGCAAAAAGTCCTGGACGACGACTTTGGCAGGATTTGCATGAAGATGGCATGCTATCATCCAATCCAGGTAACAAGTATGCAATTTGATTTAGATGGTTCCTATTGATGACATTTGAAATAACTACCCTGGTTAATAGTATAGTCTGGAAACTCTGCCAAAATCTTTGATTTTTAGTGCTTATTTATTGTTTTATTGTTATTTTTAAAAGACCGTTTTGGGAGCGATCATAAGCAAAAATTACTGAACTTCAGATATCATTTTCTCTTTGGCGTACCATCTAAAATCTCTTCACTTTAGCATAACTTACAGAAAAAGCACTAAAGTAAATATACTTTTTAAGTTTGTTTGCAGCTTGAAACGTATCGAAAAACAAAAATGTTGAATGTAGTCATAACCAAGTGGAAAATATTCATTAGTTTTGAGCGCGTGTTACGTAACATACAGAAGATTCTCCACAATTTACATTCCGTTTTAAGATCCAAGTCATCGTAGTAATCCAGGCGAGGCACCTGCTGCAGCTGTTGTTGCCTCAACGACTGTTCCTGCCGGAGAACGAAGATGTTTAGAATTTTCACTCGCTTGGGATATGCCCATTGTTTACTTTGGATCAAAGAAAATGAAACATTACAGGTAAAGTCCGACCAGATTTATTTACGATAAAAATCCATATCCAATCTACATGATTTATGTTCTGATGCAGATTGATTTTACTTTAGATGGTATACGAAATTCTTCGGTTACCATGGTAACGCCGGTTCCACACTGGTAAGCCATGCCTTAAGGACGTACCCGGAATGGGAGGAAAAAATCGAGGAGTGGCAACAGCCCATTTTGCGTGACAAGTACGTGTTATTAGTAATATTTGCAGTAGTGTGTTGTTTATTTTTCTGTCTGCACCCATTTTTGTCCATGTCAATAATCTTGAAAATATTACCTCTTTGTGGTTCTAGGAACTTACCAGCTTGGTATAAATCTGGAATATTTAATGAACTATATTTCGTTGCGGATGGTGGAACGATATGGTTGGACGTAGCAAAAGAGGAGAGCAGGAATACAGAAGTGAAATATCTGCCTGAAATTGTAAGAAATTATGGAAGATTTGCGTATCTTGAAGGTTCGTGATGGTTCGATTGCGATTAGAATTGATAAGGCTTCGGTTAGGCTGCAGTTTAGACCCGGTTACCTAGGGTTTGGACGTTTACGGTTACTGCGATCAATTGGCGGTTGACGCAATGATCTACTTAACAATTATTCGCCGACGTGGAGATGAATAGTGGAAGGATATTCACCTTAACGCTTCGGAACGTACGTCACTTTGGCTATCGAGCCTCGTTTTCGTGTATGTGACATAAGCTAAAGTCCAACGTCGCAAATACCAAAACGAGGCTTCTGTAGCCAAAATGACGTACTTTTCGGGAGGGTGTATTGAACAGGTGAAATATGGGCAGGTACGGTAATAATAAATTTTGTGTTTCCTACTTATTTCAGGTCATGAATACAGGATGTACAACACATATGATGTTCATTTTTACGCATCTTTTGCTCTCATCATGCTCTGGCCGATGTTGCAACTAAGCTTGCAGTATGATATTGGTAAATATTTATGTGTTTATAAATATAATACTTAATGACCACACCGCACCTGGCCTTAGTAACTCTTTCGCTAGAAGGCAAGTGGATCAGACAAATTATCATCTTCGTAATAGTGTAACAAATCTAAAAAAGTGCGACTAACACCAAGTAAAAAGTAAAAAGGTTCATCTTAATAGACTATTTTACTCTTAAAGTTCCGTATATGACGTCATTTAGGGAATTGCAAATTAGTTTTCTCTTGTTTTCGGCACCTAAAATTCCCCAAATGACACCATATCCGGCAGTTTCGAGAGCCGAAAAGTCAATCAAGAGGAGTTTTTTACTACAAAGTTATATTACATTTCTTATAATAATCCAAATACTTTATTTGAGGTTAGTAGCACTTTACGAAAAGCTTAAAATATAGTGGCGCTGTGCTCTGGAATCAGCTCTCAACCGAAGAAAAATCAGCTGAATCTCTTAATTCATTTAAGATACATATTAGAACATATAGTTTGGATCATGTCATGGTGTGTTTTCTATCATTCTATTTATTATATATATTGTATTTATGTGTGTTTTAGCTTCTCTTTTGCCATCGTTTTAGCGGATTATGTTAACAAGAGTGATTTTAAGCAAAGACTGACGATGATGAGCGGTAGATCATGCCCCAGGAAAGTTCAGGGTGTTGTGCCACACGATATAGGAGATCCAGGTAAGAATAAATGTCAAATTCTATCAAGAACATAACACAGTTAGTAACATGCTTTATTTACATTAAAACCCTAAATATCCTTAAAATTTTTAGTACTTTAACCATCTTAAAAATTAATATAGATGATGAACCGTGGACAAATATAAATGCTTACACAATTCACGACACATCAGAATGGAAAGATCTAAATCTTAAATTCGTACTGCAGGTACAATATTAAACTTAAAGAACACAATATACTAAACAATTCCAATGGTGGCACGCGATGGGAAAAGAACACAAATGCAACAACGAGTATAACTAAAACTGTAATATTAAATACATTATAAACTCTTGGTGGTGAGCTGTTGGTTGCATAGTGCATGGTTAGTGCATTTGCCTTCACCAGGAAAAAGTTAAATTGTACACCTTACAGTGGTGTAGTTCCTTCCTTTAAAACTAAACATCAACGAATGTAACGACAAATATCATATCAAAAACGACGACGAAAATCACAACATCCACCACCACCACCACCACCACCGCCACCAAATACAAGAACAATAACGACAACAAGAAAACTGATGAAAACATTACTACGTAAACAAAAACAACAGCAACAACAATAGCAACACAGAGACCAATAGCAACAACAGCAAGAATAAAGGCAACAATGATGGAGATGATCGGAGTAACAATTTCGCAAACTAACAGCAACCAAAAAAACAACACCGAATATCGCAACAACATTTGATATTAATAATATGACATATTTTATCTCATCTTCCCTATCTAGCTTTACCGTGATTATGTTTTCACTCAAGATATTCAGTTTCTGGATGATTTGTGGCCAGTAGCAAAGGTTAGAGCTGATTTCTCCTTCGTAGAATAAAGATAAATATACAATGAATGTATATGTTCATGTAGTCATTTATAGCATGTACTGTCATGCTTTTCATTTCTTCTTTTCCATAAACGTTTAGTGAATGTGTTTGTATAAAGATTGTGATCTACCTATGTTGCATGTTATTTTTCTGAAAAGTGCAGAGCAGTATATTGTGGATAATTCTCGCGGTACAATGAACGAGTATATCCGCGCATAATGTAATAGGTTGCATGAGCTATATATTATATTCAATGTTTGTAAATCATGATCTTTCCTTCCCTCAATGAAGACGGTGATGGCAAAAGCGGTCAGTCAGGATTCTGACGGTGATGGACTGATTGATAATTCAGGATTTGCTGATCAAACATACGATGCCTGGATTGTATCTGGCCCTAGGTAACATTTTTAAGTAGAGGACGCTCGGAGACTGCGTGACCTATGTTACAATACATCGTTGTACAGGATATATATAAAAATCACGTTAATCCATCTCCTATTTTTTTCGTACTAATAAATTTCAGATTTTTAGCTGTCAAATAACACCTTCTTTGTATCAATTAAAAGTGGCAAAATTTCAATCCATTCCAATAATATTGGGAATGAGTTTTCAAGTTCATCCCAATTCGGATTAAAATTGAAAAACTTGAACAAAGATACCGCAACGCTATAGGCTTAGTCATCAAGCCTTGGTTAATTTCAACTTGAGATTTAACACCGTAATTTGGTGTTTAAAACATTTTATTAAACTGCAAGTTTCGCGAGAACCCAACAAATTTACAAACTCAACAAATTTTGAAAATTGGAAAAACGTTTGATTTCCAATTCTGAAATCTTTTGGGAGAGGACCTAAGGCGTTGTATTCATTTATTTATACCAGAGTAGCAACATAATTCTGTTGCTATCACTGGTTGCCGCGAACTGATAAACTTTAATTTATTTGTTTGCAGTGCGTATTGTGGGGGCTTATGGTTGGCCGCCTTGCGTACCATGTCTGAAATTGCTAAAGTTCTTAGCTATCCTGAAGACATCAAGAAGTATAACAATATACTGCAACGTGGAAAGAAAGCCTATGAACGTAAACTGTGGAATGGTAAGTCAGAAGAAAATTAGTATCCCTGGTTTTTCTTTTGGTCACAACATTCGTGAGCAAGTTTACAAGTTGTTACAAATCTGTTCACAAGCTGTGGACAAGTTTTATTCGTGCTGCTTGTTCCTAGTTGTTGTAACAAGTTTGAAACAAGCTTTTGACAACTTATAACAAGCTTGGTGGCATTATCAGACTTGTTACAAGGTTGTTCTAACAATTCTGATGCAGTCACGATATAACAAGAATGTCCCAAGGTTGACGACGCAAGGTTGTAACAATATTCTTATATCATGCAGTTATCGAACTTGTTGGAACAACCTTGCAACAAGTCTGATAATATCAACAAGGATGTTACAAGATGTTAACAGCTTGTTCTAAACTTGTTGCCAATTAACTTGAACACAACTTGTTGACGGCTTGTTGGCAGACTTGCTACAAGAGATTTCTACGCGTGTAGTCATACTAGTTTCGGATGTCATTAAATTTCCTTGATAGGCCGTTACTATAACTACGAATGCAGTAAGCGACGGTATCATAACAGCATCATGGCAGACCAAATGGCAGGACAGTGGTATCTCAAGGCGTGTGAGATTGGACAACATCCGAATGATAGGGTAAGTACACTGATTTGAGGGCTGCATGGATTGAACATGCTGTAAAATGGGTTATTAACCACTGATTGTCTGGTGTTATCTTTGTGCAAAACTAAAAAACAATTCGCTTTGTAAAATTTGAATGTAAATATATTATGCCTATGCCACATAGTGTATTTTGTGTTGCTCATACTCTTTAGGTCTTCCCAAAAGCTCACGTGATCAGTGCCTTGACAACAGTATTTGAGTACAATGTGTTGAGATTTCATAATGGTCGACTGGGAGCCGTGAATGGTATGAGGCCAGACGGAAAGGTAGGATGCATGTGGCTGTTCACATGGACAGGTTTAGTTGCCATTGCCGAGATCCTGCCTACATGGGGATCGGCGCTGCTATTGTGTTTCACTTGGAACATAAATTTTAAAAACGGCGTTAATTCTAAAAGTCTAAGCAAGTATGAAATAAACGAAATTAACGTCAACCTGTTGCCATGAACGAAAATAGCATTTCGCAAAATGGACGCAAATTCCCAAAAACATGACGTGAAATTTGTGAAATTGGAATATTTTTTTTAAATTCTTACCATGGAAATAGTATGGAAATTCAATGTTCATTTCTGGATATAGTATGGAAATAGTATGGATATACTATGGATTTAGTGGTGCAATTGCAAATTTAATACTATGGATTTCACAATTTTTTCCAGTGGAATAGTAGTATATATATAACCTACGCTTGAAGATAAAACAGGTGGCTTTCGTCATGCTACAATTGAGTCCACATGACGGGCATTTAGACAAAAGTGTTAAAGTCTGGTGGGAATGCTTGAAAGTTACCTATGTGAAATGTATGTTCTGTACTTGACAATTTCATTTCGCCCAGGTTGACACAAGTAGCGTACAAGCAGAAGAGGTATGGACTGGTATTACGTACGCCGTAGCAGCTTCCATGATTCAAGAGGTAATTTTATATATTTTACAATTTTTATTCCCACTTATCAAAATCGATAAGTGTCATGCATGCCATTATTTTGAATTGAATGGTTACATGGGAAACCACTTGGCGTACGTACGACAGTAGTTTACACGAAACATTTAAAGTGTTAATTTGCTGCAAACATCTCCCAGAAAACATCACGAATGTGGATGACTTTCTTATGTCCTGAGATGACGTCATAACAACTATGTACATGGTTTTACGTTTGCATAAATGTATATAAGATTACGATGGTGAAGTCACTCAGAGTAGCGTAACCGAAAAAAACGTTCAATGGTACTATCTGAAAATGGTGTCTCAAGTATTAAGGTTATGATTAGGGTTAAAATTAAGTTTGTACTTAAATGTAGTCTGAGTATCTGGCTCCATTTTACAAATAGAGCAGACAAACATCATAATCCGATCACTCTCCACTCACAGTAAAGTTAATAATTATTTAGTATCCAATCAAAATGTCCCTGGAGAAATTTAAATGTCACACAAAGACAACAATCTAATTATAATAGTATAGCTGTAAATTATCTATATGATCGAACGTAGGTAGTGATCAACTCGAAAGTTTATGCTCCTTTGATCACTACGCACCTTCACTTTATCAAATTAACTTGAAATTATTCATTCAAAACATAATTATTTGTAAAATTTTGTATACATTTTCTTTGTTTTGTAAATAGTGCACTTCCTGAATAAATCTCTAGATAATTAAAGCTACTAAATATGTCATTAACAATAGAGTATAATCTAACTGGAACCAACCTATCAATAAAGACAGATTAATTTTTTTGTCTGACAGACTAGTCAGGTGAAAATGCGGCCAGACAAGGATTTATGTCAGCCCTTTTCCCTTCCATCCAACCGCGTCTAAGGAAGGGAAAACAGAGCCTGATTGCGATGTGTCAGCTCATGTGAAAATGACCCTGAGTGCCCATCTCGCAACAAATAGCACAAAAGTAAACCTACGCTTAATTTGATTTAAGGGTTTGGTTGAAGAAGGATTTCGCACCGCGTGCGGAGTATACCGAAGTTGCTACGAGCGATTTGGAATGGCTTTTCAGACGCCCGAGGCGTACACTGGGAACGGTCGTTACCGTTCACTTGGCTACATGAGACCGCTGAGCATCTGGGCTATACAGTGGGCGTGGGAGAAGAGATCAAAGAAAAAATACGGTACGGGATCCTCGAGTCCAGACTCTTCACCGTGTGCAAACGAGTTTTACCTGTTAAACGGGTATTCAGAACAAGAGGAATACAACAATGTGTTTATCTGGGAAGACCGGTCTTTGAATGTGAGTCCCAGTGAGACGCCAGTACGGAAATTATCTGCTGAGGATTTAACATCACCTCTAGACGAAGACTATTATGTTGACGCTTACAGCGACTTTGAAGACTTTTCAACCATGGCTGTCCGCGCGAAGTCTGATGGGGAACTAAATCGAAGTCTGACACTCTCTTCAGGCTCCTCAAGGCGGAGCCGTGCTCAAATGTCCGCAAGCGGCGAGATATCGGAGAATGGCGAAACCTCAAACTTGTTTCACGATAGTTTGCCAGGCTGAGACATAATTGTCATGGTTTAAATCGACCATTAAAAAGTCTTTTAGTGGGTTTTGGTGCAAGCGCGCTTCGCCTCTGCAGAGGTCTGCTACCGTGTATGCTTAGGGACTGGTCATTATTTATGTTGGGGGGTGGCACCGAAGAGAAAAGGGTTGGGCAAACAAAATTTTAAGCGAGTAAAAGGTTGGGTAAATGAAAAACAAAACAACTCAAGGGTTGGGGGATAAAAATTTATTAAACTTTCCAAAGCATGACTCACTCAAATGTTAAAGACTAAAAAGCAATGTAAACAGTCTTATGTCAATACAATATGTAGATCAATCGGAATCACTATCTTGATCATCTTCCGATTTGTCAGGAGGCAAAGGGTGTCTCCAAAGGAAGTACATGTGCAGACAACGTGAAACTTTAGAGACTGCAGAAAATTGCACAAGCAGTTATCAAGCTCATGTCACAGAAATGGTGAAGGACATGTGTGACAACTGAATGGCATCCTTTTGTAAAGTTGTTGGCCAGGGGTGGGTATTTATTTTTTAATTGATATTTGAGGTTAGTAAAAAAATCTTTTTACCAAGATAAAAACATTTCCCTTCGGTGCCACCCCTCGCCATAAATAATGACTGGTCCCTTACACTGTTCGCACCCAATTCACAACTCTGGATAACCCACAACTTGCGAATTTGGGCATAAACAAACGGTTGGCTGATTTTGTCTACTTAGTGAGTTTTGCATATTTTTATGTAGTGACGATAGTGGGAGATGTGTAGGTGTTATAAAAAATACAAGATTAATTCACATAATGAAAAGAATTAACATCAATCTATAATCCATCTGGTCATAATAATTTGTCGCGTCATCGATTGTTAAAAATAGGTACGCTAAGCGTACATGTTTATTTGCGCATATAGTGTTGACATGTGACCATTATTTCACTGTTGTTGTTGTGCTTTCTGTACTTGTCGTTGCTATTAATGTAGTGGTTGTTGCATAACAGGGAGCATTGAAAATAGTGGACATGTGTCTTGACACACCATGCGAGGCATTATTACAGAGTATACATACCATATACAAAGGTCCTACTAGTAAGACAAAACGTATGATAAATTGAACAGAAATACTATAAGTAGACGCTCTTTAAGAAATTAGTCTATGAACCGCGAAAAGATTTATCCCCAGCTTAATCTTCAGAAAAGTACCCCCTCCTAAAAGCATGCTGGTATATAGTTAAAAATTTCAGAGTATCATACTAGGATATTATTAAGTTATGAAAAATTTCCATAAGTTGTAATAATTGTTACCTCAGCTATACTTGAAAATCTAGCAGTTATATGTGGTATATTGGCAATGTGATGGACTGTATATTGGCCAATATTGGTTGCCAAAGTTAAAAAATAGTTAGCTACCTAGGAGATAATAATTTAGAAATTTATCTACGGGTATGAACTTTTATAATTAAAATATTTATGCATCAGTGTTATTGTGAAAGCAAGCCATAAGACATACATTAACCATTACACATCATTCAAAATCACATATATTTCGACTGCTAGGATAATAAAAGCTATAAAAACAAATTTGAATAAATTTAATCCCCAAATCTGAGGATTTAATTTATGCATCAAAAAAGCAATCGCGCCGATGTTCACAGACCTTATATACTAATTGTAAGATCTGTAACACAGGCCACAGTCAATAGAAATGGGATTCAATTTATCACTCTATAAGCCGCCATTTTGTTTATTTTAGCCTGCGAAGCAGGCGTCTACATGGAGCGGACTCGACCCGAGTGCTTGACCCATACCATACAGTAGATATGGTTAATAACTATGGTTAATAACTATCGTTAAACCAGGGCGCAGTAAAACACCTGTGTTTGTCCATAGCCTATCGAAGGGGAGATGGCTGTGAAACTCATTAGAATAACAGTATAACTCATTATCTATGTTAGTCAACGTTTATTCATAAATCTGGTCGTTTCACCGTCACGTGTGTATTGTATTTTTAACAAATCCACCAATAGCAATTTCCAGTTTCCCTATTGTTCGAGTCACGGATAGGTGACTTTCCTAAAATATTGCTATTGGTTAGTTGGGCAAGAATACAATACACACGTGACGGTGAAGGACCAGATTTATGAATAAACGTTGAGCAACATAGGTAATGAGTTATATTGTTATTCTAAGGAGTTTCACAGCCATCTCCCCTTCGATAGGCTATGGTTTGGCTAAAAACTCGGAGGTTCGACACAAGGCCACTGGACGGTTGCGCGGGGCCCGATGACGTAGTAAAATTTCCCCCTATTGATGCATAATTGTAAAACAGGAGAAGCGGTGTTTTACAATGTATTACGCTTTTTGCATATGCTTTCCCCCCGTAATTACTTACAGCTACTTACTAGAGGGGGTGGGGGTCGTATAATGCAATGTTTGGAAAAGAATGTCATTAAGTTTCGCAATTGCAACTTAATGAAGTTGTTCACTAATTTCTTAAATTTGGAATTATCTAGGTACCATTCGGTGTGCGTGCTTCTCGCACGACGCGTGTTTCTCGCAAGACGTGTATCACTCGCGTTAAACACGCGGCGCACTCCTGTCATTTGTGACAGTCTTACGTAATTCTGCCCCTTGAATAATAGATTTGAGTAATTGCGATCTAGTTGATCCTTTGCTTGGTTGATAGTCTATGTTACCTTTAGTACGTGGAGCTGTTTTCGGGGCAGGTGGGGGAGCTTTGGGGGCAGGTGGGGGACCTTTGGGGGCAGGTGGGAGACCTTTGGGGGTAGGTGGGGTTATGTGCACGGTTGGGGGTATCTTTGGATCGCGATTTTCAGACTTAGGGGGAACCGGTGGTTTTTGCAGTGGTGGTGGCTTATTAGGGATTGAAGGTTTTGGAGGTGGCAATTCTGATGATCTAGGGATATCGAAGGATGTAGGTGAATTTGGTGGGGATGTCGAGGAGAAAGACGAACGACGAGATGACATTTCATCAGAATTCTCTAAAGCGTCATGACGTTTTTGAATTGCCTGTTTAATCGAGTCCATCAGAGCTTCCACTCCGAACAGAGGTCTGGCTGGCTCGTCACGTGGTTGATCACGCGATTCGTCGAATTGCCCTTCCGGCTGAATTTCATGTGTTCCAGAGTGCACGGGTGGTGTCTGATAGGGTGAAGATGAGACATACGTAGGTGATGAAGGTACATCGTTGGATGACGTGAGTGCTTGTTTGCGTAGAAGGGGGTTGGAGACCGTCTCTGTCTCAGCTTCGTAGGATACCACAAAATCATTGTCCATTTCACGAGACCTGAAATAAAACCATTACCCGTATTTTTACCATAATGTCCACAATTCTGACGCGTCAAAGAACAACGGCAAATAGACTTTTGTTATAATGACGTCAAAAGCGCAAAACTAATTTATGCGATGTCCCACGAGAGAATGCAATAAATTTCTCTCGTGACAATTGTCCCTATGGGAATTACAGTATGTTCTAACGGACAATTTTTTGTCCCGAAGGACTTTTTTGTCCTCTGGGGGGGAGGGGCACTTTTTAGTGTTTTTCGGCGTTAAATATCATTACAAGAAAGGTTTATTCGTTAATTCCAACGAGACTCTGCTTATATAATAACAAATAGATAAGATTTTGCCGTTGTTTGTTCAGTTACAGATACACAATATGACGTCATAATGTGGGAAGGACAAAAACGGGTTGCCACAGCCACTGAGGATGAAACTGGCATCACCTACCTCTTTGAAATATCGGGCGATTCTTCAGCTTCTTTCCCAACCTCACTTCGATCTTTGCCAGATTTGCTGTAAAAAATTAAAAATCAATCAACTTTACACAACACACACAATGGAAAGAATAGTTATACGGGATGTTTTACCATTCTCATTAGTTTAACTCTCATTAACTCTCATCATGATGCTATAGGCATATAGCGGTAAATTTTTATACTGTACAGCATAATCTCCTCCCAAAATTATGGCTATGTCTTAATTTAATTGTTTTGTGTTCAACATATAGACCACAGTAAGACTTTTTTTTAAATGTGTTTATTACATTAACAAACAACGTTTCGGAGATCGGGTATGTAGTTAAGATTGCGTTTTACAATTAAGACATTCTTCAAAATGTTTAGGAACGAACTTTCCCTTAGCCTCGTGTTAATAGCATATTTTGTGTTCAATGTATAGACCACAGTAAGACTTTTTTTAAATGTGTGTACTACATTAACAAACGACGTTTGGGAGATTTACTCCATCTTCAGGTAGTTAAGATTACAATTGTAATTGTAATTGTAAGATTGTAAGTTCAAATTAGGACATTGCCTTAATAATTTGAACCCTAACCCCCACCCAACCCCCACTCTAACCTCTAACCCTAACCCTGATCTAATCTTAGTCTGACCCTAATATAATCCTAATCTAAATCTGACGACCTTTTTTCTTCAATGACAACATTATGACGTCACTCCGTTGAATGTCAATATGTCAATACCTCATGCATATTTGATCAGATGATACTGTACGACGAACTCACTGTTGGCTGTTATGGCACCAACAATATAAGGGCATTATCGTATACTTTACCTTCGCGTTTTCTTGAAGTACTTCTTAAAATGTTTGAGAACATTTCGAGTTACTTGTGGTTTGAAGAAAATCTAAAATAAAATAATATCTTGGTTGATCCCCAAAACGGTAAATCTCAACTCTTATGAAGATCCTAATTTAAAAACCCTGATTCAGAGCCTACCCTAACTCTGAACTTTCAGACAATACTTTCTACAGTACGTCTTACTCAGAAGTTGTTGCATGGCATTGCCTTTTTAAAGAAAATGGAATATCCCAAAAATGAAATATGGAAAGAAAATTCTGTTATTCTATATTGTATATACAGTTCTAAGGACGCCAATTACAAAACCATGTTCATTTTAGGTTCGTATTATACATATACTGTACATGTACAACCTACCGAATCGGGATCAATAGGGTCTAAGCCATCAGCTCCTTGAAAGAATCTGTGGTATAAGATCTGCAAAGTTGAAAGTAAGGAACTGATATAACCATGAGAACATAAATAGAAGATATTACACGGCGGTGGGAAGATATGACTTTTATCTTCGAGTGGGTCAGTTGGCTGGATTGCAGGGCCACAGGTTCAATACCTGCCAGGGGTCTGTGGTTGTAAAATACAAAACAAGTGAAACTCAAAAAATCGATAACATTCTTATGTTATCGATTTTTAGAGTTTCACTTGTTTAGTGGTTCTAAAAATTGTGGTTCTAAATTGTGGTTCTCAGTGGTTCTAAAAATTTCTGTGGTTGTATTTGCAGAAATTATCCCAGACTTTTAACACTTTGTGCTTCTAAACTAATAATTACAGTATCTAAATAACTCTAATTATAATTATACAGTATCTAAATATCAAGCTCCAAATCAAACAAGAATTTAGCTTACCTCTTTAAGATCAGGGTAGGACGAGTCTTCCGTTCCAAACACAAACTTTAAAATCTATAATGAATTATATAATGTCAGGTGACTACTGCAATTAACCCGCACGCACGCTTGACTGAAATCTTTAGGTTAGGACAAGGTTGATTTAGGACTACAGCTATACTGTAGGGTAAAAAGTAAAGAAACAACACTACTAAGACAACATCACAAACATGTATATTCACCGGAGTGCAGAACACCATGCAGAAACAAAAAATTTTAAATCATGCATCGCACATACCTCGCCAACCTCAACACTTCTGGAACAATATTCAAAATGAAGTTTACCAGGCTTTGCATTGAATAATTCTTGACCGTATGACATTTCATACAGCAGATGCCCTAAAGAAAATTTTGTCATCATGTTGTTAAATAACAATCATGTTACTGAAATTTTCTAAGGTTTAATGTTAACCCATTCAAAATTAAATTCAAACATCGACCCTGAAAAAACAGAGCGTGAAAACATCGACCAAGGATCAAGTGAAAAAAATCAGTAATTGATAGTACTGTAGAAATAGTTAATGTATTACCAAAACATAGCGTATCAATGGCATATTTATTCTTCTTTAAAGCTCTAGACAATCTTGGATGTAAGCGCGACTTGAATCCTAAAATCGCTTGTTCATATCCGGAAATTCTGCAAAATGAAGTTAATAGTAATAGTAATAAGTTTTATTCAAATTACCTCGCCAAATTACAGATTGAACCAAATTATTAAATTTACAAAATAATAATTTAACAAAAATAATTTACATTATTTTATATTGCACAAGTTGACCATTAGTACATATAATAATTTACATTATTTTATATTGCACAAGTTCCATTAGTACATATAATAATTTACATTTATTTTATATTGCACAAGTTCCATTAGTACATATAATAATTTACATTATTTTATATTGCACAAGTTCCATTAGTACATATAATAATTTACATTATTTTATATTGCACAAGTTCCATTAGTACTGTACATATAATAATTTACATTATTTTATATTGCACAAGTTCCATTAGTACATAAAATTGTTAACATGTGCATAGCAATCAATGTTGAATGTTGAATAAAATGCAGTTATGGTTGCCGTGACAATACCTGCAAATACCTTTCTTAACAAATATGTTGCCACTGTGTACATGACCATTGGTTGGAATTCCCTTACTATGCAAAAACAGCATGGCCTGCAAGGGATAATTATGATCATGATTAACCCTGGGGAACACCAATTACAATGGGGGCTGGTTCAGGGTTTCAAAAAGTAAGCAAGTTAAAGTAAGTGAACTTTATTTCACTTGTCAGTTGGGAATGTAAAAATGCCCCATGCCCCCAAAAACCGGCGACTAAAATCAAATCATCCATATATTAACTTACTTTTAATATTTGTCTGCCATACATTTTGATTTCGAGTACATTCATTGCTTTTCCTTGTACCCTGTATTTGCCTGCCCAAACTTCGCGTGGTCTTTTCTAGAAAATAGGTATGTTTCACAATTATTTTGCTAAAAACAATCAAAGCTAGTAAGACAATAATACTACAGTACACTAGCTATACTGTAAAGATTCTTGATCACTAGCTACAATGCAAAGGTAAGCCACCGGCCACCCTAAAAATAGATTAACTTACTTAAGAAAGGTGGGTTACCTTTTTTAAGATTACACCCGGGCCTATATCTACCTCTTCACATTGTAGGCATTTTGTACCTTATAAATCAAATCTTTTAACGTCCCCTTTTTATGAAATGGTTCTACAACAAAGACGAATGGCTTCTGAGCAAGTACACCGACATCTGTCACTGGATATATGTAAGGATGCTGTAGAAATAAAGCACATTTTTTAATGTTGTGAAAATAATACAAAGAAAATGGCCATGTCCCATATGACTACAGTACTTGAATAAACTCAATTCATAAACTACATAGTACAGTACTACATCTCAAGCTTGCATTCAGGGACCCGTAGTTGCATTTTTCAGGGACCTCAGCCAGTGTTAAGTTGCATTTTTCAAAAAATCAGTAGAAAATTCATGACTTGCACCTACCCTGCTAAGCGGTCCAAACAGATCCCTAAGTAACTGGATAGTGGTGGGCGTAAGAGAGAGACAACAGTCAGAACTCTTCTTCGTTAAAACTAGCAACTTCTTTTCTGATTTTGTTTCTTTCACAATAAACCAGCTTCTTCCAAGCCGGCAACCTAGTAGCAATAAGATGAAATTATCAGGATTCATAGTGATTTTCCATTTCCAAAAATCTTCAAGCCAAAAATCTTCAAACTAATAATATCAAATAATGTATTTCCAATTGGCAATTAACATGTTGAATACCCCGCCTACTATGTTCTGTCACAAAATCTTACCGATGTCATCCAGCTGTTCAAAGAATGAATATTTTCCCGACAAGTTCAAAAAGAACTGACAAAGAGCCTCTGAAAATAACATAAAAATTGTGTTAACTAGAAAAAAAAACATGAAACGTAACTAATTTCAAAATTTAACATAACGTTCATTGGTACCGATGCAACTACCTGAAAAATAAAAGGAGAAATTCAACTTTTCATTGGGAAGTTAGTAGCAGCTAGGGATCAGGAATTTTATTATAAAACTACTATAATTTTAAAATATAATTTAAGCACCTTTTAAAGCCAGTCTTTGAAATTCTTTATCTCTTGTTAACTTCTCAGATACATTCTCTTCATCTGGGATCGATGTATACCCATGTTTACGTTGACAGCTAAAGTAATTTGAAGACGAGCGAGAGTGAGACGCGATGGAAAATCAGGACTTTATTTCTCTTGCTGCAGGCGGGCGAAGAAAAAATGAAGGCCTGATACAAATTTCATTAGATCAGGTTCAGATTTGTCTTTCACCTTAAACACATATCAAGGTGGATTTTCCTTTTCTTAAAAGGAGGGACGGAAAATTTCTAGTGGGGTGCAAGTGGTTAGGCGTTAGGGTTAAAGACTTTTATTGGGAAGTTAGAAAGCACACTTGTTGTGGTGTGATCAATTCACATGTTAACTGAGTAATCATGAAACCATACCTCCATGAGCACATTGCTATACATGCTACAGAAACAATCACCAAAGCCACTTGAATAAAGATTTCCAACTAGAACAAATAAGTCAAAAAGGCATGACTGGATTTTGTGATTTCCACCATGTCGCTTGCATGCATAGTAACTTGTTGCTTGCATAGTAACTTGCCACTACACTAGCAATTAAGAAAAAACAGAAGACCTGAAATATGGTACATCAAAATCCAGTGTTTGCAGTTCATTTGCTTGTATACAAGTAAGCATGTTGTTTGCTGTTCATTTGCTTACAAGCAATACCTCGCTTTCATTGTTAAAAAATACCTCATTGCAACTTAGTTACACAGTCTTAAGGAGTACAATAATGCTTTCAGAAACTTTTATAAAATGTCTGCCAATGACACAACATCCCCTCCCCCGCTGTTAGCCACAAATAAACTATAGTTAATATAAAGTTACAATTAACAATAATTAATACAAGTTCATGTCGCATACTGATACACAAAATTCATGCTTCAAAGTATTAAACAAACCAGTAAAAGGAATTTATTCCCTCGACTTTCTTGAGATTTAACTCTTAAACATTACAAGACGACACGCAACGAAAACCCAGAGACAGAACTATACGATATACAAATCAGATGAACGTTGTTGACCTTTGTGCGTTAATAATTGGCCTTTGGCTCGTATATAAAAATGTTATATAAACTTACAACATACAGTTATATATGCTACAAACGTAAAGGATCAAATCTATTAAGATGTCTCTTACCATTTTAAATCCAAGACATTCCTTCGTTTGAAGTTTCGAATCAAAAATCAAAATTTAAATTCCTGCACAATGTATATGTCATTTACTCTGCTTATGGATTAATGTATTATC